CTGCTTCGTTACAGGCATATCAAGGCCAGATCCGAGTTCGCCAATAGCCACTTGAACTGCCACTATTCAAATGGCGTAATATCCTTTGGACAAATGACTCCAAACTGGTTTTATTTGGTGGAATTGGACAAGACAATATGTCCGTCGACCTCCAAATACATAGTACCCCCCAAACCATACGCTGAAGACAGTAAAACACGGTGGCCTAAAAATCATGGTATGGGTATACTTTTCATACAACGTTGTAGGTCCCGTATATATGATCGGTGGGATCAAAGACCATTATGTTTATGTCCAAATATTAAAAACTGTCTTGCAGACGTATCCTGATGAAAATATGCCATTAATTTGGACATTTCAGCAGGACAGTGACCCTAATCATACCAGCAAGGTGGCCAAGGAGTGGGTTCTTAATGAAAAAGTGGATGCACTGTCATGGCCTGCACAGTCCCCGGATATTATTCCGATCGAAAACTTATGGGGGACATCAAGGGCTACGTATTAAAGAAGTTTCCGACTTCTAAGCCGCAGCTTTGGCGATTTGTGCAGGAGGAATGAGACCATAATCCCCTCAAGCGTTGCTAAGACTTGGTGGACTCCATGCCACCCAGGTATGAGGCTGTGATAGCTTCGAAATGCTATTTAACAAAATATTAGATCATAGTTAATTAGAATTTAAGAAGAAATAGGTTTCTTATACGATATTTTTAAATTTATGAAGAATTTTAGTTTTTCACTGCTATTTCAATGATCGGCATAATATAGACCTTTCTTGTTGTTATTAGCTATATCTTCTATAAGGTTTATGTTACCTAAATTAAATGATTGTGGTATTGTTAATAATTAAATACACTAAGCCTTTATGAAAAAATTGTTTATGAAAATAGCGTTTGTAACAGAATTTTCCAATCTTGAACGTGCAGGTCCGTGGGCACTGCTATTTCAGTGAACACAGCTGTACATATATTCTTAATCAGCATCAACAGACGATCTAGTCATGTCCGTCTGTCCGTTTCGACCATATAGTAAAAAGAATAGAAAATTTATAGAAAGGAAATTATAACTACTCTGCTTTTATTCATCCTATTTTTGTCTACTTCGAGAGAATGCCGTTTTGTAAAATTAATTTATAATTTGTATAGATATTAAAGTTGTTATTAGAAATAATTTATAACTTATTACTTTGTTTTTGATCAGCATATATAATTAACTTTTATATTATATTAGATATTTAAACATAAAAAAAATTGTGTTTTATACGAATTAGTTTTTTTTTTTAATGTTTTTAAAATTCTACAAAATATTCTGAAGGCTGACTTTAGATGATTAAAAATGTTCATTTAGAACATATGGTACATATACACCATAAGAACATAAGAAAAAGGTCCAACTACCTATAAGATTTGTAGGTGGCTGTACAATTCGAAATACATTAATGACAATTACGACACGAGAAGCCACAGAAATTAAACTTCAAGCATCAGATGCTCGTTTTGGAGACATCGACTTAACAGAAACTGTGACAAAGAGCTCCAATACTACGGATTCCATCGATGTAAGGACTCTAAATGTCAATGAGCTGCTACAAAGAAAAATAGAACTGTTCCCGAAGGACACATTCAGGCTACCACATAGTCTTGCACCTATTGAGCATCATCATATCGCCATTTATGTTGGACTAATATTCATAATGGTTATTAGCATCATTCATTTCGTTAAAAAATGGCAAGTAACTCACCAAAATCAACGAGGCCATACCACGTCTGCAACTATGGCTACTCTCGCAAGTCAACCGTTTACAGTCAACATTGATGATTGTTGAACATCCGTTCAACGGGCGGGAGAATGTACAATTTCGTCAAGAAGATAATTGCTCGCAGCTGCCACCAGCCATCTATTGATAAGATTGCATCTGGACGCTGCCCATCTACCTAAATAAACTCGGGAAACTCGCGATACCCGGGTCACGCAGGTCCGCGCACACATGTGTGATTACGGGTCATAAACAAGAATCCCGCGATCGGTCACGTTCTTCACACCATTTGCATGCAGACGTCACAGGAATTAGTTATCTAAGTAGTTCCCATGGCTGTATCCAGCTGTTTATGTTTTTATAGGATAAACCCATGTAACCCAAAAGTAGACCTAAGTAAATACCCTTTGACCCGAAAACATGTATATAAACCCCATGCAGTATCCAATAAAATCAGTACGAAAAGAACTCTTTGCGTATTCACTTCTCCGCAGCCCAATTTGTATTGTACTTATTGCGGCGACCATTGCCACTGGTACTGAACCTGAGGCACGCAACTAAAACCATTTCAGCATTAGGATTTATTCTGAATCCGCACAGTGGCTCTGTCAAGTATTTAGTAGTCTTATCTAATTTTCGATTTGTTGATGTGGTACTCGTTAATATCACTTGAAATCACTCTGGATTTGTTAATATTTTGAATGTTCATGGTTTTTTGTTTGGAATTAGACTATTTCCAAATATTGCTTGGATCCTGCAACGTAATGATACTCAGTACCACAGGGAATGGATGCCTACAAAACTTTTCAAGAAATCTGTTCCTGTAGTTTTATAATGGCATTTATCTAGTTTTGACATTAACATTATTAAAAGCAGTTTGCTATATTATAGGTCGAAAGATTATTGAAAAGTTCAAAAACATTGAGCTCCTGTACTCGAAATAGCAGGCTCTTTGTCCAAATTAACTCTTTAATTTGATTACATCTCAATTTTTAACCAGGCTAAATGTTATACTTTTTATTATTACGAGATTTTTTCTAAACAGAAGATTAATATTAAGCAAAACTAAATTTAATTTTATGTATAAATACTTATGACGTAAACGTGTATAAATACTTTTTGAGTTGCTTCTACATAAGATCAAGCTTCTCGAAATCGATCAAAAACAACAAGAATAACAACTAAAAGAAGTTGGAATGTGAAACTTATTGTTCGCCGAATGCTGTATACCCTTGCAGTTTTCAATTAGATATAAATTATATTTTTTCATTTTTACGGGTTTACAGTTTTACATTCACAGCTTCGATCCAATCCTGAAATAGTACAAAATGGCCATATCTCAAAGTAGATGAAAATACGACTGTTACAATTTTTCTTCTTCTGAGTTGCATACTTCTGACTAAAATTATAATACCATGGAAGGGTATAAAAATAGCCTCATAAATTAAACTAAAAAGAGAGTTTAGATTAACTTTAATTTAATAAAATGTTTAATAGTTATCTGAATGAAATTTTGCTCTTCTATATACTCTCACTGCTATATATGTCGGAACGGGCCGGATCAGACGACTATCATATCATATAGCTGCCATACAATAGTTCGATAAATTTTTTGAAAAAAATTATAACTTGGCTGTTTTTCAACATTTTTGCACAATTTTTGAGATATGGCCATTTTATATTAATTCAGATTTTCGGTTTTAATTTTATGAAAATAGCACGACTATATCTTATAGCTGCCATACGAACGATCGGGAGATTAATATGAAAAAACATTTTAACTTCGTTGTTTTTCAAGGTATTTTCATATACTCTGATATATAAGGTTTTTTTTATTATTGTAGAATTTTGGTATAAATTTCATAAAAATCGGACAACTTTATCATATAGCTGTCATAGAAGCGATCGGTAGATGTAGAGAAAATGTAAAGCTGGGAATGTAAAACTGTAACTGTCAAAATGTAATGAAACTCTGTTTTGTGTGTGTTTTCAACATTTAAATTTATAATATATGTACATACATATACTTCACTGCGTTGCAAACTTCTGACTGAAATTATAATACCCTGCAAGGGCATATAAACTCCTATATAAACCACTATTTTTTAATGAATATGTTGTTAAATTAAATGGAACTTTTAGTTTATTTAATAAATACATTTAAAAATTTTTTGAAATTCTTGAGCGAATTACCTTTGAGCCACTGTATGGATTCGGAAATACCCGACAAAGAAAATTAACATGACGAAGGTTTTATACCCTTTAATATTTTTTTGCTGTATTTACATATTTATGGATACTGATCAGGAATGTCGAGTGTTGAAGATCATGTTTAAAATAAATACACATGCACATATTAAAATATAGATTGTTTATGACACATCCACATATAAAAAATATATAGATTATTTATCTAGTCTCCCAAATGTGCTTTCAATTGGATGACTCACAAGATATGTACATACATATGTATGTACATACGAACATAAATTTGTAAGTAAGGCGAACGGCTGGCCAAACAAACTGACGTTAATCAGCTGATTGGTGGGCGACACTGGGTGGCTATAGAAGACTTTCTGTCGCTGGCGAAGTGCGCGCAGAGTATTGCAAAACGTGGATCATTAGTCACTGATCGATTGATTGGACTCGTTAGTGGGCGACGACAACTGCTTACTGGCTCTGCTTTTGTTTCTCGTATCGTATCTCTTTTTTTCAATTGCACTTTGGCGGCAATGACGATGAAGATACATATGTATCTGCATACATCTGTACATCAGTACGTGTACACACGAGAATACGTGTGCTGGCGAACATGTAGGCGGCCCGACAGGCTTACGGTTCTAGAAGCCATGCGAATGCCGCCGAGGAATGCGTCTCAGAGAGCCGCTCTCGACCAACTTTCTAGCCCAATAGCCACATCCGTCTATTTATAAGTCTGATGTGTGTGTATCTTTGCAATGATCGGAGCACCCAGAGAGCGGGAACTGGAGCGCCGTCCCGATCCGGAGAGCGCGGAGCGAGGCCCGAGACCCGTGAGACAGTGTGGAATATTTACCAATTAAGGCCTTAAGGAAGCCAAGCAAAGCTTACACGGGCACAGGAACACACACACTTGGCCACACTGGCCTGACATGGCCCTCGGAGAGGCCCAGAGAGCAGCGCCGAGAGCGCCACATTGGGGCTGGCTAACTGCTAAAGGCGTACGGCGAATGGCGAATGGAGACGATGGCGCTCAGTCGACGAACAACTTTGGCAGCGTGAAGACGCCGTGGACGCAATCGCCGTGGATGTGGCAAACAACAGCGAACAGCAACAAATCATAGTGTGTGCGCCAGTGTGTGTGGGTCGGCGGCAATGTGCATAAATAAAAAATCTATATATATTTTAAATTGAATTTAGAAAAGCGAACGCACACACACTCGAGAGAGCGAGAGCGCGCGGCAAAAGCTTGCAGCGGAAATACTGAAAGGCAAAGTGGAAGTAAAAGTGCCTGTGTCTGTGTGCGGCCGCTAGAAAGTGTGGCCAAAAGTGACATCACACTCCGGGGCAGCAGAGCTGCGATAGCAGGAGTAACAGGAGTACATCAGCGAGAAATCGCGCGCCGCCTCGCGGAACATACCAGAACGAGAACAAGTCGCACGCGTCGTCGCTCAAGGTGAGCCCGCGCAACCGCACACCACCCCGCTCCCCGCCCCCGCTTACTAGTCGTCGACGCGTCCCGTCCAAAAATTAATCTCAACAACTGGCACGACAAATAGTCGCCGACGAAAAGTCAGAGCCAAGTATCAACGAAAGAAATAAATAAAAAATTGTCGCTACGCAGCGAGGCGCTTTGTTAAAACGAATTCGGTAGTGGACGAGGTACGGCAGAAGCAGCGAGATGAAGCCCACTGTGATGACCCCCAGCCAGGCCCAGAGCAACGCCGGCGCCAACGGGGCCCCTGGTGGAGGCGCCGGATCGGGTGTCAACATACCCGTCAACCGGGAGTACGTCGGCGGCGCCTACGGATCTCCCCAGCAGCAAGCGACGCATCAGCAACACCCCCATTTCCAGAGTCCCCAAGCGACGTACGGATCGCCCAGGCAGCAGTTCCAGCAGGTTCCCCCCAGCCAGCAGCAGCAGCACTTTCAGGTGAGTAGCCGCCAATGGCCGTTCGGGCCAGGGGAATGAGAGAGCTCCAAGGTTGGCGCCAGGCAAGGTCGTCTCCTCCAGATTCGGCCCCAACCTCGACCTCGATCGCATGTTTGTGTCATTGTTTTTGTTGCTCGCTTTTGGTGCGGAAATTCACACAGTGGAGCTTCTCCAAAGGGGACACCTTCTATGAAATCGCTTGGTTCCCCTTTTAAAATCTTTACTTGAAAGCAATGTAAAGGCATACCTTTTATTTTCTTTGCCATCAAATTACTATAATGGCAATAAAAATAAAATTCACAATATATTTATAGTTAAAAAAAGGTTTTATCAGGATAACTAAGTTTAAAATTCTATTGTTTACTTGATACTTGATTTATAGCCTTGTCTATTCCTCAAGTCCAGCCAATTTTAAAAAAGGAGCAAAAGTTGTATTGTTAAGAATCAGAGCGGGAAAATATTCCCAATAATTATGAGCAGATAAAGTATCAATCAATGCCTTTTCGGCTAAATATATCTTAAAGAGTCAAGCAAAATGAATTCTTCATATCTTAGGAAAAATTAAATACTTCATAAAATTGTCAGAAAATTATATAAAAAATGAACTGAGTCAAAAATGTTAGCTTTGGCCTCTTATAAAATCATTTTGCCATTCTGGTAATCTTCTCGAATATGTACGGTGATGTAGAGTAATTAATAATTACTAATTATTACTTTGAATGTAAGAATGAGTTTATATTTTCTTGATCAGAGGCCGTAAATACTAAGTTTTGAATTTGGCGATACCCATGGACATCAAGTTACTTTTTGGATTTTTAGCTGTATGACTTTAAAAGCTTTTATGTCGGGAGCTCTTTGTTGACCAATTTCGAATCAGCAATTGAAAATGCTTTCTTTTATGTATTTATGTATATATGTACGTCTATTTCGCTGCGACACTGAGCAGAATATCTATATAAATTCTTGAATATTCTAGAATATATGTACATATATGCATATATATAAACTGGCGGGCACACTTACCGCGATGGAAATGCTGAAGATAATAAATAAATACAAAAAAGCATCATTAAACAACGCCAAATAAAAGGCAGGAATTGCGTAAATTTACTCAAAATCTGAAAAGCAGTTGCTGTCAGTCTTTCTGGGGGGGGGGGTGAATTCTAAAGTTGTTTCCCTCTTTCTCTCTTGGACCGGCCAACGGTGCGTATGATTAATGCCGCAACACTTGCGGAATTTTACCAGAGTCAAAAAGTACAGCTGTTTTTGGGGGCCTAATCTAATAGTCAGCCATCCAAATCTATCAAGAACAAATGGTTGAAAATATTTGAAAATTTCTAGAAGAAAACACACAAGTGGCGCTCGCTCTGGCAAGCGTTCTCTTTCCTCTTTTTCGGCGTCGAGTCTCTCAGTCTGTGTCGCTCTTGACTAAGTTCTGTGTACGACTGTGATTTCCACTGTAGGCGAACAGTAATATACAGACATATGTGATGTAGCTGCCCATGTGTGTGCACATCTCTGAGTTGTCTAATACGAATCGTAGGCGGTGTTTTGTTGCTCAACTTTTGGCCAACCTATGCGGGGGCCAACGAGATGCGTCGATGACGTTGACGTTACTTTGAACGTCATCCGCAAGCTTTTACAGTGGGATGGTCGAGAAGAACCGTGAAGAAGGCAAAATATGTAAAATTTACTCAATTCCCAGCTAATTAGACCATATGAATGTATTTTCTCAAGAATAAATTTTTCATTTTCATATTACAGCCTATTAATCTATGTTTTTAAAATAAATCTATTCTTGATCGAGCATAAAATGTTCATCAAAAAATACAAGTTAAAATAAAACCTTTTTTTGCTTCCTACAATAAACACATATATGTATGTACATAGCTGTGGTTTCCCAGAAATCGTGTGCTTCATACCCCATACCCAATGCCCTTTCATGGGAGACACTCCAAGTGAGACTTGAACAAAACTCTGACTCTGAGAGAGAAACTGCGAGAAGCAGCCAGAACGAGCCAGCAGGTCCGGGAGTGGGCGACAGCCGCCTTAAAAGACCTTCTGCGCCGGCTACTCGCCTCATTCGCAGCCAAACAATCGGACAAAGTGCGTCACGTAAGCGAACGGAAATCGCAAACTGAGAGCCAGACAAAGCGGACTGACCGCAAAACTACGAGTAGCGAAATAATTGTCGAGCAGCAGTGCTCATTGATAAAATAAACAAATTAAGTCGGGTGCTTGAAAAGACGGGAAGGTAGGCTCCACTCCCTCCTCCATCGTTCTCCAACAGCTGTTCATTCACTTCGCATTGACATCACTCGCCATTCGAGCTAGTTGTTGTCTTTTTTGCCCACACAAACACACCGCCTGGGGCTCTGAGTCACCTGTTATTTATAAACAATTCGCCCACTTTGCCAAACAATTTGCACTTTTCCTGCCCTCCCTTACGTTCGTACTTATAAAGCTCAACCTCTCTCTCTCTCTCTGTCTCTCTGTGATTGCAGCCGACCTTTGGATTCGAACCGGACATGGACATGGATAATATGTTTCCGCGCTCCCACCTGGGCAGGATGCATGACCCCTTTGCTGGCTTCGGCGACTCACGTAAGAGGAGCAGTTTACACGGTCCCAATGCTCATGCTGACGATGCCTTTCAATCCTATTTCGACGACGCAGACTTCGGTTTTCCCAGGTTTTCGACGATGGGGAGACGTGGCCGCATGGCCGGAGGCACCAACGATCACATGGAGCACGAGGACGACTTCTTCAACCGACTGCCATCGGAGTTCCGCCAGTATATTCCTGACGGATTTGGGGCTAGACGTGGAGGCGCTCCGGGCGCCAGTCATGTGGCCCAACATCCGCCGCAACAGCAGCACCCTCAGCAATATCCCCAACAGTCATACGGCGCATACGATGTGCCCCCGCAGCAAATGCCGCAGCCGGGATACGGTGTACCCCCACAGCAACAAGTGCCGCAGTCCCCCTCCAAGCGGCTCTGCGATGCTGCCATCCAGACTGAGGATCCCGCTGGGCGCTCGGAGGTGGACTGTGCGCCGTCGGCCAACTTGAGCCAACATGGACTGCGCAATACTGTCGACATGGGCGTTAAGAGTGCCGCCGAGCAGGACATGGGACTGCGGGCTCACTCCGCCCCTCCACCAGAGCAGCAGCAACAGAACCTGCAGTACCAGCAGCAGCAACAACATCAGCGTGCAATGCCTTCGCCTGGAGCTCAGCAGCAGCAATTCGCAACCCAGACCAGTCCGCCAATTCAGGGACACCAATATCCAGGGCAAAAGCAGCCGCAGCCGCCGCTCAAGTCTTACTATGCGCCCCAGCAACAGACACATCCCCAACAGAAGCAGCAGACTCCTCCACCGGCCCCACAGACTCCTGGCGGCACAAATATACGCACTATTCCCATCTTCGTAGAAGGTCGCACGGAGCCCATTATCAACGCCCACAAGGAGATCCCCACCCAAAGTGCACCTCCCAGTGCCCAGGAGGGTGCTGAGACACAGGCCCAGTCTCACTTCGCGCAGCAACAGCGGCCCACGCCACTGAACACTCATCAGGAGTTGCCGGCAGGAGTTGCTGCTGAGGGAGCCGCTGGCTTGCCGCCGCAGACACCGCATACCCTAGACTCAATCAATAAGATCCAGGACATTCAGCGCGATGTACTGGAGCTAATGGGCAAGGTGGAGCAGTTCAAGGGCACCCGCCAGGACAAGGAATACGTCTACTTAGACGAGATGCTGACGCGCAACCTGCTCAAGCTGGACACCATCGACACGAACGGAAAGGATAGCATACGCCTAGCCAGAAAAGAAGCCATCAAGTAAGTCCCCCCAACGACGATGGTCAATATTTGTTGACTAACGCAGCCTTTTCGTTTTAGATGCATTCAGGCGTCGATTAATGTGCTGGAGGCCAAGGCCGAGGAGAACGCGCGGGCAGCGTCGGGGGCAGCAGCTGCAACATCCACCGCAGAAGAGCCGGTCCAGACGGAGGCAGCTGCTACCTCAGACTCTGTGGCGCAAGTTGCGGAGCCAGTGACGCCACAGCCGCAGGACGCAACGAAGATCCAGGAGCCCATCCCCCTGCCGCCGCCACCAAACACCGCAGTGCCAGAGACCAGTGGAGCAGTGCCTGCAGAGCAGGTCGCCGCTAGCCAGAATGTCGCCCAGACAGGGACGACCACATCGACGTCGGAATGATGAACACAGCGCCTCTACAAAACAACCGTTTCGAAGCAGCTACGAAAATTAACCAAATTTAAGTGACAGGGAGGAGATCGACACGACTCATTTGGACAGACTTGACTTGACAGGATTCGGAGTGGATCAGAATGAAAACGGAGCTAGCAATATGCGTCCTTGCTAGAAATTCGCAGCAGGATGCACACGCGACACACTCGTACTATGTAAGCATGCAAATCTCATGTGACAGCAGTGTTGAGTGCGACAAACACTCATCCCACTCATCCTCAGGCGTCATGCACCCCATATGTAGAATAGGCTAGTAAGGAATTTGATATTGAGAAAAGTGCCTGCATAAACGTAATTCGGAAGTTAACATAACGAAGTGATTTTGTTGTAATTCGTTTGCCCCACATGCATCTTAAAGAGCTGATTATGATTAAGCGATATATCACCATGATGATAATTTTGAAGCCGAGTCCAGTTTTTATACGTATTTTGTGTCAGACAGCCGCCTAGGGACAGCAAGTGGCCGTATGATCTCATACAAATCTACAGCAATTGTGCTTGGTTGCTACCGCCACTTACACCCAAAAACACACCAACATCACCAACGGGGCACCACTTACGGCTTTGCTGCAGTTAAATTGTTAAACAAAGGAGAAAACAAAAACTTGTGGAACAACTAAGATTAAACTATTTATGCTACTAATTAATGCGAGAATAAATGTAGATATTGTTGACCAAACTTTTTATTGTTGCACAATTACCAAAATGTATTATCGAAAGGTTAAATAATGTTTATCGGTATTCCAATTACAATATGCATACAAAAAGCCCCGGATCTGGGATGGAGCGCATCTTAAATACTGACTGAGTGGCGAGACCCTATATATTAGATATCTTAAGAACATTTTAAAAGGACGCAACACGGCTTCTGCAAGCAAAGCCAAAACAATGGTATAATATGTATGTATACACAAGTGGGAACAACAAATGAATGGTATGGTTGGCAGGAGTATACGATATATGTATATATGTATGTATGTATATGTGGTAAAAAACAGAGGCGTGATGTACGATAAAAATCTTATAGTCGCATATAGTCATCGTTGAATCTCTTTTAGGTGTATCCCATTATTGTTCAAGAGTGTGTAGTACGGGCAAAGTGTTTAAGTAGCTATAGTCCGGATCTAAAATGCAGGGGCTAAAAGCTGCCTGCTGTTGGTGTAGATTTCCCAGCTGCTTGGCAATTGGAAACTCGCCTAGTTTATTATCTCGACATAGTTTGCCGGAAACAGTCCATAGGTTCCATCAGGGCCCAGGCCCTGCCACCATCCTTCATCGATTTGATCGATATGTGTAATGACATCGCCCGGATCGAACGTAATCTCCGACTCGTCGGCAGCCTGGTAGTCGTAGAGAGCGCGGGCTCGCAGACCCAAATCGCCGAGGCTCTCCTGACAAATAAAATCGTCTTCGTTCACCAGATCCGTCACTGCAATATACGGTTAGTAGCTGGGAAGTAGCTAGTTGAATAGCAGCGCACGGGGACGCGAAACTCACGGGCATTCCTTTCTAACGTGGTAAGGCCGCTGGTCTTCGTCGATTGAGACTGCTGCACAGTGACCGACACTTTGGTGCGGACTTCCTCCTCCTGCTCCTGGTATACAGCCGTGTCCGTTTCATTGGAAGACGTGGTCTCATCGGGGGACTGCGACTGCAGTGAGTTTGTTTTGCTGTGCGGCGACCGCTTGATGGTCGAGAACTGCTCGCTCTCGTGGGCCAGCGGCAAGTCGTCCACCGGCTGGGTCTCCTCCGCCTCGGCAATTGTCGAGACAACCTCGGCGGCCACAGGAGCAGCAGAAACTGATGCGGGAGTCTCCACCGGCAGCGGTTGGGTGGGAGACACTGCGCGTGGTGGCGAAGGCACAGATGCGTCTTGAGGCTGATTTTGGTTGAATACGTTTATCCTCTGGGCAATAGAGTTGCGTGCGGGTTTCGCTGGTGGTTGCGTGTTGAGCCTGTACTCCAGATGAATAGCTTAGTTAGGGATAAGTTAGGTAAAATGCCATCTTACTTTGACTGGAGCTGGCCCTCACTGGTATGCTTGGTGAACATGGCCTTGGCAGCACCGACACGCGAGCCAATCAATTCGCGGGCTTCCTGGTTTCTTGCTTGACGCATGCGCTCCGCGTCTGTCAGATTATTGGCAAATCCTGGTGCAGTTTTCTCCGGACTAAGTGGCTGCGGGGAGCTGTGAACAAAACCGCGCATTATACATAGATCAATGTTAGACATGTTAAGGAATGTTTTGCTCACGTTTTTATGGGGACATGGGCCGGCTGGAGCTTAGTGGTACTTATAACCAACTTTTCTCGCTCCTTATGCTCCTTCTCCTCGCGGCTGCGTTGTTCCAGCTCCAGCTTTTGCAGCTCTACGCGCTTTGCTTCTTTCTCCGCCTCCAGGCGCCGCTTTTCCTCGGCCTCCTCCTTCTTCCAAAAGTCTTGCATGACACTGGCGTTGAGCTCTTTGGTGGGAATGACTCTGGTATAGTTGGTTCCGACCGGCGCCTTCTGCTCCTCCAATACTCCACGCGGCTCTTTAAAGCTGTAAGCTGAGCTCACTGTGCTCAGCTTCTTGAGGAGCCGTTCCAAGTCGATGTCATCCTCGTTCCGGGCATTAATAGTCAGGTGGGCCCCTGAAAGCATATTTCCTACGTCGCGGATGTGGTTGGCACAGGTGCCTTTGCGTAGCACAGGTGCGCCCTCTCCCTTTGGATGGGATATCGGGAAAAACAAACAGAGTGAGATTACGCGTGCGGCGATAAGATTGCGCGCTTACTCACCTGCCAGTTGATGAGTAAGTACTTGTTGAGGCCAGTTTTTGGGTCCTCTATGCGGACGAAGGCGTACATGATCTTGCCGCTGTTAAGGTCTTCCGTCAGCTCCTCCACTCCGCCGTCGCCGGTGCCCACGACCTTCAGTTCGTTGGTCTGACCCTCGTAGCCGAACAGAGACCAGTTAGTACCGCTCTTGTCGTCCAGCACATCCTTCCAAGCGGCCACGATCTGCGACCGATTCTTTTCGAAGCTAACGGCCATGGCACGCGTCTAAACAACGACCTGGAGCAAAGAAATCTTCGCCAGCTTTCACTAGCAGCCGTATTTGGGTGCCTTCGACTTCAAGTGAAAGCCAATGTCCCACGACAACTCCCAATGTTTCCCAGTCTTTGATTGAAAGCCAGACTACTGCAGCCGCTTCGCAAGCACACACACAACCAGCAGCAGAACAACAAAAGAATGTCGGGCGATTGATTTTCCCAGAAACTGGCGACAAGTCCAAAACTTCTGTTCTCTGCAAAAAGTGTTTAATCAACGCCTGAACTTGGTTTCTAATATTGGGCGAATTTGCACTTTATTATTCATACAATTTGGATTAATTTTCTATTAACTACTCGCGGGCGGCGACCTACACAATTTTTTGGACCAGCATGACCGCTCCTGAATCAATTAAATATACCAACGTCCGCTTAAAAAAATACTAAAAAATACAGGCAGTGATTACACTAGTCGGCACAATTATGTTGACAAAACCGCCCTGCTCAAAATCTTCGAATAACGGTGATAATCGATGAGCAAAATAAAGAAGGTAGGTTTATCTAAATGCATGCCAAATTTTATGCTGGTTACGATAGAATTTACTTTCTGCTAATAGGAAAGCATGCGGCATCGAGTTTTAACGTGGCATAAGTATTTTGACAAACCTATTGTGGATATGTTCTTAAGGGGGGGTGGTAAGGTATTTAATTTTTTTTTCGTAAATTTTTTTTTTTTTTTTATTTTTAAAGATCAACATCTTAAGAATATTGTGTCCAAGTTTTATATCGATCAGAGTAAAATTGACGAAGTTATGCGGAGTTGAACGAAGGTCGGTTGGTGTTCAATGCATGAGAATCGCAAAGTTTAAAGCGCTAACTTCTTTGGATAATTCTACAGGTATTCACGTCGAGCTTTTTTTAATTTTTAATTTTCTTATATTTTTTATTTAACAAATTAACTTAATTTTTTTTGTCAAAAATCGGGGTTTTGATAAAATTTTGATAAAAAATAGAGAAAACATTTTAAAAATAAAAACTCTTCGTGAATACCTCGGGACACTTATCCTTTAACGAATGAGGTATAATTTTTTTTAGATCGGATGATCCTGTGGACTGTGGATGTACACCGCAAAACAACTTTTTTTGGAGGCGACTCGGGAGATTCCCTATAACTTCTCTACCTCTAAATATTTTTCAATACAAAATTTATTAAAAATTATTCAAATGTTGTGTTATTATATGGTACTTAATTCATTAAGCTAACTTTAGCCATTCCGCCACAATAATTTTTTGAAAAGTGGCCTTTTTTGCATCGAATTAACCCCCCCCCAACACCGCGAAAATGTAAACAAACTTGGCGAGGAACAGGTGAAATATGGTATTTAAAATGTGGCGCCAAAGCTACAAGCATGCCCAAAATAGTTGTTGGCGTTTTTTCTGTATATTCTTGCCCCAATACGTCCCCAATTGTTACTATTTAATATAAACCGCCTACCTCTACCTTATTTTAAAGATTTTGGATGCCTATACCACCTATAGACACTCTTCGGAATTTGCTCTTTGTTAGAGAAAAATCATTAGAGAAACTCAAATTCCTCGTCATCTAATTAATTTTAAGTTTGTGCGGATAAAATCTGACGCAATCTGTGCTTTTGCGGTTTTACACCAGCCAAAATAGTTGGTAAATGCTTCATTTCAATTTTGCAACACAGCCTTTGTTAACGTTTTCTTGAGCCACAGCTGATCGATCAGCTGTTCGGATGCGGATGCACTTTAACGCAGCTCTGTGGGAACACGAGTTTCGCATCTGCGAAAAATCCCAACCGTTCCTCTCAAATGCGCTAAGTGTGAAGACAGTATTAATGATTGAAAATATCGTATTAACAATTTATACGGGAACAGCTGTTTTCAGTTGCCGATATTTTCAGTTATTCACTCCGAAATTAATGAAAATATCCACGATGTGCCGCGATAGTTTTTCGATATTTTCAGTCGTTAAGGGAAATCTTCTAGAAACCAGTATTTTTTTCGATTTGGCGATAGTTTCGCATGAAGTGACGTGCCGGCGTGATTCGCTCACGCTGTCCCCCGATTGTTATCGATAGTGCCATCGAGGTTTTAACAGCTCTAATAGTATGTATTTTGGATTATTTTTATTTCGTATATAAATAAAAATTGCTCTGTCCAGCGAAAATAGTTTGGATTGATCAGGAAAAACAAGAATCAGCTGTGAGTAGGACCACGACCACTCGGAAGCGTCAAAAGGTAAAGAGTTGTAGTTGTTGGTTCGAGTGGATGTGGGAACTGAGATGCTTTGGTAGCCGCAGACGCTGACCTGGCTATCTGGCTGGCGGCCTGCTTGGCAACAATATCACAGTTGGCAGTATTTGTGCTGCTGGCTGCTGTACTTGGTCATTGCCAAAATTTCCGCCGTCCCACCGCGCTCGTCATCGGCACGGTCTCTTAAACCTGTCCCAACTGCATCGTGCTTGCGCCACCAGCCCCTCCCCCACCGTCATCAGATGGCAACCGTTTGGCAGCAGGATTTGGCCGTACTTGTTTTCAAGTCAGTTGGAGAATCTGAGCGATGAGCCAGCGTCAGTCTTTGTTCGGTTCGGTTCGGTGGGGATTGGCTTGGTTTCGTTCCATTTACATATACGCCAGTGCAGCCAGGCTCCGCGATACACAGTATCCAGTTTGCGACCGCTCTCCGATGCGCGTGTGTGTGTGCACATGCCTGCGACCGCCCCCGTTCCCCAGCAGCCACAGCCATCCCATTGCCTCCGTCTGTGTGCGCCTGCTCATGGTCAATTTCTTTACATTTTCAGTGTGAAACTCATGCGGTGCAGGTCGCAGGCGGAGCAGCAGCAGACCACCAGACAAAGCCCACGTTTATAGGGTCCAGCATGGAATCGGCGCTGGATGTGCTCTTCAGAGCGGCGAACATGGTGCAGAACAACACGAGCGGTGAGTGAACTAGCGGGTGAGCCCTGATCATTAACCAATACCATTTGAAAGAGAAGCGATCGTTGTTGAAAGTTAACACCACTGACAACGCCAATGTGGCCACTCGAGGGATCTGGCCCGAGGTTACCTTTAACTCTAATATGGCTTTCACCTTTAAGCTGCTACCGTCAGCGCACAAAACCGAAATACCTAAAGACGTAGTCGTATTCAGCAGTGTGTCAAACAGGAAGAAAGAATTTCTTCCTATTCAGTCCTCCTTGCTTTCCTACCCCTGAACCCCATTCTCCTCCTAACGCATGACTCACGATTGCAACAAAGCCCCTTCATGGAGGGCATCTTTTCGTGCATAACTGCGATCGCTTACTCAGACATTGACCAGAAAAAGTCTACTGGCTCGGGGGCCGGGGCTTCGATATTGGGGTCGCTGGATAAACACCCAGGGCAGCACAGGATTAAGTTTGGGGCATGCAAAACTCTCGTCGGACTCTGTGCGATCGCGTAAATACTTGACAAATCCGAAATATGTTTTTTTTTCAAAAAAAAAAAAAAAGCACAAAAAACGACAACAAAACATTCCAACAAAATGAATTTGTGGCGCATTCCGATTCCGATTTTCATAAATGTGTCAAATGCCGCATTTTCGATGGCCACAGCGCGACACACAGACATGTGTCAGCCCCTCCATACATACATATGTACATAAATAAATACAACTTCGGGCAAAATAATAGCTCTGAAATATACTTGAACTTTTTTTGCAGCTCTAATTTTTTTTATTTTTTACGTAATTGTATCTGTTTATTAAAATTTGCATTAAAATTTTAATTTACATTTTTTTTAACCGTTTTTCTTAGAGCCATAGGATAGATATTCAGCTGATGTTGAGTATAAACATTTTTAAACCAATTTTTCCATTTTTAAAATTGTTTACACAATCGCTTTTGTTTCCTTAAGTTATAATTTAACAATTTTATTTTATTGTTATAATCAAACTTGTTTATAAGATAATTTCATAATATTTATATTTTGGGTATTTTTAATTTTGATTACTTAAAACAAAATCTAAGTAATTGAAAAAAAGTTACAAGTTAAAAAAAACGTGAATTTTATAGTTATGGAGACATGTACGAACCTATAAAGAATGCAATATTATATATATATCTATATTCTGACTTAGCATAACAAGTCGAGTCGATCTAGACATGTCTGTCCGTTTTTATGCGAACTAGTTTCTCAGTTTTGAAAATAAAAACTTTCCAAAAAGTCTTATTTCCATTGAAACTAGCTAATAGCTTCAATAGAAACAATCGGAAAATAATTATAAAATATATAAATATATATTAAGTTGCTTTTTTATATGTATCTACTATCATCTTATCGAAATTCTATGGTTTTTCATTTTCTACAAAATTAAAAATATTCTTTTTTAAGTTTTTTTTTTTTTTTGAGTGCTGCTGTATGCACGGCTTGAATTGTAAGTCCGATATACGGATTGAGGCAGGGAGCAGGGCGGGAACACTCTTATCAATAACCAGTGCCGTAGTTGCCACTGCGGCTGGCGATCACGAATCGTGGATGTTCGCATCTCACACATGTGTGGCGTACGGGTTTTGCATATTTTTCGCTGGTGCACTCGCGACATATCTTTAATACTTGCAATTTGCATTCTCCGAGCTCGCTGCTCCGTCCGTCACCGCATACCCCACTCCGCAGCAATCCCGACGACCGCCCGCCCCCAGCGCGACAAACAAGCGCACGAAGCGAGGCGACGCGACCGCGTGACATGCCAAAGAAATTCCCGGCGGAGAAGACTTCGCTCCGAGCCCGTATAGTATTTGGCGTGCTGGGGCGTAAATATGTGTATAATTGCTAAACAAAAAACAATTTGATTAGACATGTTCTCTGGGCAGCAATGTAATTGCACAACTCACAAATGGACGATAAGCCCGCGGCTTGTCCGGCGGCTCTGTTTGGGCTCTGATTTCGACCCAGTTCCCGATCGGAGCGGAGCGGGGCGGGGCAGCTGATAGTGCGCCGACGCGGGGCTTCTCACCCACTTCCCCTTATACTTGCATGCAAATCAGTAAAAAAGAGAGGGAGAGCGAGCGGGAACATGGAATTCCGATAATAAGCCCAATTTATGATTGTTTATTTACCCATTGGGAGATGGCTTTATCAGCCATAATTCTGAATATTTGACAAATTCCTCGGCCAGTATACATATATTCGTACATATGTGTATGCGTACAGCTGTCAACACACCGAGTGCGATTTATGTGACAGCTCCCTCCCGTAGTCAGCCAGAAGGAGAAATGCTTCCAATGCTCAAATAAATATTTGAACATCGCATGCGATTTATTCATTGAGGTGTCCGCTGTGGCCAACACTTTGCTGCTCAGGGCCCAGTGCCCAATGCTCAATGCTGCCGACTTTTTGTTATGTTGGCAGATGAGCTACTAGCTGCTGTAATGGGATTGTATTCGGACCGATTTGATTGATCGGCGGCATAGAGATTCGAAGTGCAGTGTCGTTAACCTGGCCATGATTAATGAATTTGTCATAATCGAATACGGCATTACGGCACGGATGGCGTTCTTCATAAATCACGCGTAGAAGAGCGGGCCCGATCTGCGCGGATCGGCCGTTAATTAAGCTGCCATTCCATTGTCCGCCAAAGAGCCCACTCTAGGCCATAATTAATAAACAAATAGTTACACAAATTGTGGCCTGTACCAGCGTGCGTTAGTATGTTCCACCGGCCGCCGCACAAAAGAAAAATTGTGGCAATTTCGAGCTTGGCCAGGCACTGCTGGAGACGGACACCGACCCCTGAAGGGGTACTTACGGGTTAGATCAGGGACTGGGGACTGGGGTCTCATCAGGTAATTTACATGGCCTTTCGATTCTCCGTTTTCGCCAGTTCCAACTCTGTGGGCCAACACTCTCTTCCATTTACTTGCAGCGACCAAACGGTGCGCATAATTGCCGTAAATCTCGCCCAGAAGAAAATCAAACAGCCAGCGAAACCAGTTTGGACGCTGGCACTGGGATAGGATGGGATTGGGTAGGATCGGGACGGGACGGGACTGGTGATGGCAGTGGGAATGGGGATGGGGACTGGCACTGAGATTTGGACTAGAGCACCACCTTTCTTTTTGCTACTGCTGCCACTGCCGAGAAGACTTTTGCACCGACTTTTATTTATTTACAAATGTAACATTTGCCTATTTGCGCGCTTTCCCAGCGACTCCAGGCAGCAAAGGTGCAGCGACAGAGTCCACTGGTGGCGTACAATATCCGAATATGTGTGTCTAAGTTGTCTCAGATTGGCGGGGAAGCGTTGGGCTCTAAAATTCAGACTCTTAATCTAAATACATATGCATAAAATAGATACATATATGTCGTTAACAACCGATTAAAAATTCGGAAAAATGAATTGAAATTTTTCTCACGCCTGATTTAGCACCGGATGATATTTTATAATGACAACTATATTTATGTTATTGTTAGTTTTGCCATTTGCCGTCGCTCCTGATGTCGATGTTGCTGTTTCTTCGTATTGTTTTTGTTGCTGTTCTGGACAATCAAAAACCAGTTTCTCTTCAAATCGCGCGCACGCTCGAGTTTTATTTAAATTTTGAACTGGTTTGCCGCTGATTTGTGTTGTCTCCGCTGCGTATATATTATGTACCCACTAGATATATACATATATTAGATTGTTAGATTTCACAAACAGCAACAAGCCCAGACTGTGCCTGGGACTGGGGACTGGGACTGGAAGTGCGGCTAGGTTATAACATAATATGCTTTGGTGGTATCGGCGAGTTCTGGACAGAACTCATCTCGTCTGTGTGTCATCATCTTTACGATCCATAAGGTGGCAAAGCTTCTATATAGAGGCGAAGATCTCGCTTACTTCCGCACTGCCATTACGGTGACCCAAATCGCCGGGAGGGGATCTCATGTTACTTTACCGACGGCCGATTTCCAAACAAAACAAATTTCAATTAGCGAAGCATTTTCGGTTTTGTTCTTTTTTTCAGCTCTGCACAGTCAGTCGCCAAGCTGTAAACTGAATATGTATCCAATCGATGCAGTAATATTAGGTTGCTGCTTAGCTTGTCATTCAGCCAACTCCCTAGAAGACCCAGAAGGGTAATAGCTTAGGAAATATCGAATTGAGCAACCTCTTGGCCAAATGAGAATCAGGTGAAAAGTGTAATTTCTCGGCTCAATAAATATGATTAGGTCAGACTTCATCAGAGATTGCTGCTAAATATTTTTACATATTTCCAATGTTACAGACTTTAGCCCGTCTTTTTTTCCCCAAATGTATGTACATAGTTTTCCCCACCTTGTGAGTGGTTATTAGAGCTCCCCTTGGATTTACAATGTTTGGATTCCGATAATTGGCTACCCATTGTTGTTGGCCCGCCAGTGAACTCTTCTGCCCTAGTAGTGTTGGTTTTTGTTGTTGCCGATGCCGTTGTTGTCATTGTTTTTCGCTGCTTTATTTTTCGCCATGATTGCCATTCGATTGACCTCGTTGCGCATGCGTGCGCATGTTTCACGCTACACTACAAATTTTCGCGCAAAACAACAATAGCGCGGCACCAGCAACAATAACAATAACAACATTAACAATAACCACGGGCCGAGCTCGCCGGATGATGAGTAAGCGCGCTAAAGCCTAGGAGCGCTGTGCCCGCTAGCTCACTCCACTCGATCCGTGCGTCTGTCCATTACTCAGCCAGCCAATGGTTCGAGCTCGATTTTGTTTAATTTTCGGTTTCTTCCCCTCGCAGAGACGTGCAACAGAAAATTGCACATTTTTAACGTGGATTAACAAACGACGATGGGGAAATGTGTACGTTTGTATGTACAGATGTATGGAGAAAAGGAAAAACAATGAGCTGGGAAGTATCGATCGATTGGCGGATGGCGCGAGATCAACAGCTGAGCTTGTGCAAGTCAGGCCAGGCCAAGCAGGCCATATGATCAGCACCCGAGTGTACGAGGCCTGGCATCAACTCTATCCCACCTCCCCGTTGCTTCGATGGTGCTGTTAATGCCGCTGTTGCTGTTGCAGTTGCAGTAGCGATTCATTCGCTCGCAACAGTAGTAGTTGTACTACAAATCGGGCGTAAAATTTCATGGGCCTGCTATTGAATTAAAAACGAGTTTCCTCTATGCTCCATGTTTCAGTTGGTTTTGCTATTGTTATTGCTTTCAGCTCTCTGGCAGCTTGTGTATGCGGCGCTTTATTGCCGTTTTCTATCTGTAGTTGTAGGGGTCTGTTGCTGTTGCTGGTGCAGTTGCATCAATGGTAGCTGCTGTGGCTGCCGTTCTGAATCAGGCCCACACACACCAAACTGCTGCAGTGACAGACCCACAAACTAAGCCAAACAGAGCCGAGCCAAGCCCAAAAACTGCCGCAAACGTGCAGAACACCCGACCTATAACAATACGGGTAGCAGCTATGAACAAGGCACACTGCAAGAGAATGGATAGACACACTATGCCGCAGTTACTTCGGTTTTCCCAATTTTAAGGGATCAACAATTTGACATTATATTTGGTACATAAAAATTGAATATGGTTTGCTTAAAAAGAAAGAAATGGATATAGTTTGAACTGAATCAATCTTCGAATGGCTACGAATGTAAACAATAACCAATAAAGGGAGCAAGATGAAGAAAGGAAATTTATAGTGCTCTAATTCCCATGTATATTTTTTAATTTTACTACATTTTTCTTGAAACGTTCTCTTTAGTTTTTACCGAACTTGATACTATATTGTATAATATATTAAATCGTAAAAAGAACAGTTAGTTTTATCATAAATAAACCAACGACACATTCAACCTGCAAATAAAATACACAAAAAGTGTTATTGCAACTGTGATATATCAGGCACCTTTACTATATTGGGTCCGGTTTTATAAAAAAAAAACGAAAATTGCTAAAGTTTCCGGTATGCGGTATTTTATATGTAACCCATTATATTATATAATGACCATATTTAAATAAACTGACTGTTGGTTACTCATCGTAAAGGAATACATTTATATAAAACTTCTTACGTTTTGGGTCTGTTGTTTGTTAATAAGTTATTAATAATACCAAATTTGTATACATAACATCGAATTATTCCGTTGTTCCGTCGAACTTTTCCGCAAAAAAAGCATACTTAACATACATATACATATGTGTGTATGGAGTTTTGCTCAGTTAAAAAAAAACATATACATATGTACATATGTTTGTTGTGACAAAAGTCTGGGTAAACATTATAATGAGCCCTGAAGAAAAGAGCGGGAAAGACAAATTAAAGAACGCCCACTGCATGTGCTGCCTGGATCCAGCCCAACCCAAGTGCCAGCTCACAGTTCCATGCCCAAGCAGAAACCCAAACCGAAATCCAAATTCAAGCCGAGCAGGCTCAACTGCGGGGCGCCGACCGTACCGACAGTGGCCAATTCCCAATTTCTGCCATTTCGTTACCCTTTTGCCCAATTTGCCAAGCCTGAATTGAATGGGCGAACCGCGGGAGGGGCGTGGCTGGCTGCCACATCCTACGGGCAGGCATGGACCCCTTTCCTGGTACTCGGCCAGCGCTCAGTTTTAGTTTTTCAATTACCAAATCAGCGAGCAAGCTCAGATCCGAAAACCGTCGCTCCGCCGAGAACGAATGGAGAGGGCCAGCCAAAGAGCCAAAACGGAAATTGGTAAGAGGAGAAAAAGAAGAAAACAACAGAATGGGCCGAGAGCGCAACACCAGCAACAACAGGAGCCCCAGCGACAGAGGCCGAGGGGAAGTTGGCGCAAGTGCAAATGGCTCTTGAGGCCCCAAGTCTACACCAAGCCGAGTCCGGTGGAGACTTGCCCTCGAGTCGAGAGGCGGCGAATGAGCGCAAACGAAGGCTGCCACAGAATACGAAGGCGAACACGAAGACGCAGCCGAAGCCAAACCTGGAGCTTTCGAAGATCAAAGCTGGCCCCAGTCGCAGTCTTCAAGTCGCCGCTCGCCGTTGATCAGTTTGAGTTTGTCCGTCGAAGCCGCCAGTGCGTCTTGGTGCTGCTGTCGCCAGTTCCAGTTGCCTTGTTACTGCTGTAGCTACTGCTACTGTTCTTGCTGTTGCTCGCGGTGTCGCTGTCGCTGTCGTCGTCAGTGGAACGTGCGCCGAGCTTAGTACGTGTGTGTCAGTGTGTGTGAGCCGTGCTCTACGGACGAGTTTGTAGGTTTCTTCTCCGAAAGCGAAAACTGGCGCTCAAGTTCAGTTGGCGATTTGTCGATTTCTATGCAAATCATTCCTCGGAAAAGAAACACATATAACCCAGAGCCAGAGCCGCCGCCATAACAAAGACGGCCAGAAAAAGAGCGTGCTATTTTTATTTTGCTAAATGTCGACTCGAGGCTCACGTCGACGGAGCAAATCAGCGGACACAGAGACGGTGACGGTGGCGGAGACGTAGACTTGCGAGAGACTGTAACCCGAGTCGCCGTCCACGGCAGGGAAGAAACAAAAAGCTAAAAAATAAAAAAAAAACAGACAAACAGAAACAGATTGTATCTGTATCTATAGTCGCGACTTGCGGTTCGTGTGCGCACATTCGTTTCGCTGCATCTGTATGTGTTTCTGTGCCCGCGTCTGCGTCTGCGGCAAAGCGCAAAAAGTAATCATAAACTAAAGGGAAAGATAAGCAAATAAATAAAAAGTCTACCGCTCCCAACCGCCGCCGCGGAGTACCGATAGACAGGCCGACGAAACCGAAAAGAAGAGCTTTACGACTCGCCGCGAGTCAGCTGAGTCGGCTTCGGCGGCAGCAATGTAAGCGGTTCTCCAACCAGCAATCGAGGGCCTGCAATCAGGAAGGAAGCAGTTTTAAAGAGCGGGAAGCGAGTGCGATCTTTGAGCCTCGAGCCATGGACTATCTTTGCATACTGAATGCCTTCGAGCAGAACTACTACAACCGCGTCAAGGAAATAGAACGCTTGGCCGCAGCAGCAGCTGCCGCCTCCTCGTCGTCCCCCGCCTCATCCGCCTCGCCCGCCTCCTCCACAGCCTCCACATCCTCCGCATCCTGTCTGAATGGCCCGTCAACTTCCTCGACCGCCTCCTCCACGGGCAGCTCGCCAAGTACGTCTGTGCGCGAGGTGGCCCATGCAGCCGCTGCTCTCGCTGCCTCTCAAAGATTGGCTGCTTATCAGGGCCAGGAACAAGGACAGGGGCAGGGAATGATATACCAGCACCACCGCCAGCAGATGGAGCAGCTCCAACAGAGCCACGCACTACGATCTGGCTCCGTCACTCCCCAGTCCCAGCCAGCCTCGGATCCAAACTCCTCCAACATGGCTAACAGCCTACTGTGGCAGCCCTGGCGCGATCTTCAGCAGGCTGCCGCCATGCATCACCAGCTCTACAGGCAGCAGCAGCAGTTCCAGAAAGGTTCGTTTTTCCTCATACCTCTGACATAGGCGGAATGTAAAATTTAACTTTGAAAAGTCTCTGGTAAAGTAAAGCCTATTTTATTGGTTGCAATATGTAGCGATTTCGAGTTTCATCATTCTCATGAATAGTGCAGATTTTATTTTGAGATTCATAAATTTCATTAACAGTAGAATCCCATTTTCCTGAGTATAAATAAAAAATAAAAAAATAGCTTAAAATTAAATGAAATTTGTTTTAAATAATAAAGTTTGCTGAGTTGGATTATCTCGACTGTTGAAATTCGAAGAATAACCTGTATATTGTCGCACATGTCACATGTCTTGCAATCTTCTGACCAAAATAATGAGGAAAATTAAGGAAAGGAGATATTATTGGTGGCCGAACCTGAAATAATCTTTGTTTGAAAACAAAATATGAACTTGGACTTAATCCGTGAGTTAATTTGGACAAAAAAAAGCTAGAAGACTGAAAAACTAAAATTTAAATTCTAGTAATTTCTAATAAACCAGAAAATTTAAGGTCCAGTTAAAATCTGGAGGAACGGATATATTTATACTGTGTTAAAGTTAAGACTAAGATCAGTACACAGCTATTCTAGAATACGAAGAATATTGGGGGCTCTAAAGCTCTATGAAGTTGAACAGACAAAGTTCAATTCTGTGTTCTGGTGTTGCCCAAGCTGATGCACCTGCTGCTCACGTGAAGGGAGCCTGGTGGGTGCCAACACAGTGCTGAAGTTCAATGGATCGGAGAACGTGAGGTTTGCCTCTGACCATGATAAGTACTCACTTTTCTGCTGTATGGGATCGGGTTTCGGAAGCGGGTTGCTCTGATTCGGCTCGGTTTATCTTCGGTGGGCAACGTGTGGCTAGGACGTGATGGGTAGGGTATTGGCAACAGCGGCAATCGGTCACGCCGGCTGCAAGCAGGGTCCGTCTTTTCGTCCGTCTCATTTCTTCATTTCATTTCGCTTGTGCGATCTGGAAAATTGGTAACGAAATTGGCAACACTTTTACTACGCTCCGCACCGGCTCCGTCGCGTTCGATTGGCGTCAATTGACACACACTCCCAACTTCCAGGCGTCACACACTCCCCGCCTGGTTTCCCCGTCGCCCGCTCTTCGTGTTAATTGGCGACATTGCACAAATCACACAAATGCTTTCAATTACATGGCGACGCCAGGCAAACACGAAAACGGCTAGAGAAAGAGCAAAAAATGAGCGCCTGTTTAAACATTAAACCTCCATAAAAAATGGTTGGGGAGTGCTGCAGCGGAAGGGGGTAGGGCTGGAGCCGAGGCTGGTGCTGCTGTGCTTGGCTCGACTCGGTTTTATTTTGCTTTTGTTAATTTGTTGACATATTAAAACCAGATTTGCAATCAACTCGGGCAGCGGGTAATGCGGGTATAGCGCTGAATGGTGGTGGGCAATGGGGGATCCGTAGCTTCGGGCATGACTCACGAGCCGGCACGAGAAATAATATAAATAAGGAAAATCGCTAGCGACGATGATAGAAAAATAAATATGTATAAGACTAGCAACGAATGCTCCAACAACCGGAGCAGCAACAACTTGTTTGCATAAGCAGCAAATGTGGCTGGTTCTTAATGTAGATTGAGCTTTTTACGTTCGGCACACGAGTATTGTAAATGCGTATGTAACAAGCAAAAGAAGGTTGTTCTTTAAAATTAACCTATAAAAAAAGTCTTGAATGATAAGAGATCAGATATGAAGGATTCAATTCTGCGATCCGAAATGTAGAATAAAATATTATATAATTCGAGTAGAAGTTTATGGTTTATTTTTCTTATTCTTCATTTAATTCTAGTTAAAAAAACTTTATTTCACAGTCGAGCCTCCCATTTTGTTTTTATAGATATAGCAGTTCGTACTACGTCATATAAGCTTGAAGATGTAAATAAGTTTGACTTGAGTTGTATGACTATCCCACTTTCCACCTTTGATCCGGGTCTTCTCCTTTCTTTCACATATTCTTGTTATCTTTAACTCAAGCCTTGGTACTGACATAATTGAGATTTCTTTTGGAACTGTAATCTTCTGACGTATCCTATTGACGATCAGTGCCGTCCTTGTTTTTTGAAGCAGCAACATGGGTCAATCCCCTTTAGAAAACAAAAATACCATATTTGTATACTAAATGTACAACTTTTATAAGCCATAGAAACACATTTCTTAAATGTTTGTTTTAAAATATTTAAAATACAATTTTTTATAATTATTGTCTGTGAAATAAAACAGAAAAGGAACTTCAGTTTGGCGAAGTTTTTATACCTTGCAGTTTGCAATTGGATCATTAAGGAAAAGTAACAAGAGATATACATATACATAATATGTGTAATATAATTATATATATATAATATAATACAAATTGACCATATCTCAAAGAAAGCTAAAATAAGTTGAAAAACAGGGGAGTTATAATTTTTTTTCTACAAATTTTCGCGATTGTTTCTATTCTCATAAAATTAACACACAAAAATAATACAAAATGAAATTTTCTTTAAAGTCTATGCAAATTGTCTAAAAAACAGGGAAGATATAATTTTTGTTGTAAAAATTTATCGTTTATTTCTATAGCAGCTATATGATATTGTCGTCCGATCCGGCCCGTACCGACATATATATCAGTGAGAGTAGTCAGAAGACTATCTGCAAAGTTGCTTCAAAACTGAAGGACTAGTTTGCGTAGAAACGGACAGACGGACGGACAGACAGACGGACATGGATAGATCGACTCGGCTGTTGAATATATATACTTTATAAGGTCGGGAATGTCTCCTTCGCTGCGTTGCAAACTTCTGACTAAAATTATAATACCCTGAAAGGGTATAAAAATGTCTTGAAGCATTTTGCAAATAATTACTGGACAATTTGTACTTAAATTGATATTTTACTGTTGCGTTATCTTTGATTATCGATATTATCGATATTTTAACATGAATAATCGGACTTTCCCCTCGATATACATCTCTTAGTCCGTGTCCAAGCGCAATTGAGATTAAATAATTTTATTGTGTAATAACTTTCATGCTAATTATCTGAGAACCGATTTTTTATAAAAGTGCCTGCACAGATATAGGTATTACATAGTCTACATGACTACAGAAGATGTTTCGGGTTGTTGTTACCAATTTTGGAAACCCTATAAGAATAAATATATGGTACTTAATGGGTTCTGAGAGGCCCTCTTCTGGCAGTTACGTATAGTCCATTATCCGTTGCCAATAAGTTATAATACCCCTCTACCGAACGGGTACCGGTTAGAGGTCTTACATACTTAAAGTCTCAAAACGACACTTGCACCAACCAAAAATGTATACCTTTCCAAGAATTGTTTGAAACTCCCCCGAATTCAAGTCGTCTTCTCATCGATGGAGCCCAGCTTCCCGCTGACCAATTAACCCATACAGAAATGGTACTGTGCCTGCAGTAAAAGCTGCAAAATAAACAAAAGGGCAAGGGTAACGGAGGTGAGAAGGAGAAAGGTGGAAACAGAGCAGAATGCGAAAAGAGGGGGAGCCTAAAAAAGAAAGCTCCGTCTATCCGCCGATCCCCAACAGACGCCGACGTCCGACAGCCGACAACCGACGACCGGAAATGTGCAATAAAATTTGAATGTTTCTTTATTATTATCATCATCCTCATCATCATCCGCAGCAGCAGCAGCAGCAGCTTGAGCCCAAGCCCGTGCTTCGCTCCCAGCCTCCGTGCTGTTTTGCGGCTGTTTGTTGGTTTTTTATACCTCGGCCCGCCACTCCTTCCCACTCCGGGCTCCGCACTCTACAGACCAGTTTGCCCAGCTTCTTTCTCTCAATCGTGCTCCTCTGGTTCTCTACACCGCACTGTTGTGGTCCGACTCCTCTCGTGACGCAGGCGCAGAAATAATAAATTGCAGCCTCGCAGTGACGTTGCCGAAAACAGGACAACGCTCTCGCCTCCGCGTACTCCTACTCCTCCTTCGCCTCCTCCTTTAGCTTTACAGCCTCCGGGGCGTCCATCCACGGTACGGCCAATGCGCCATTCATTGATTCATTCATGCATTGGTCTTTTGGCCCCCGACCATGATCTGGCTCTGGCTCTCTGCGCTGCTCAAAATGTGCAGAAGTCGTCCGACTGGTTTGTCCCTTCGATCTCGGCCGATGGGGATTAAAAACTGGGTTCTGGGACCTGGCTTCCCGCCGCCTGCTGCTTTATTTATATATACTTGGTTTCCTGTACGTTTGCCTCCGTGTGGATGTGTCTGCTGGTAGCCATCTCCTACTCCGCTTCCGCCGCTGCAGCACTGCGGCACATCCCGATTCGACGTGGCCAGATCCCGCAGCCCACGCAGCTGGCTATGAGTTGCTTCGGCGGGTTGTCCGCTTCCCACGCCAGGCCAGCAGCTCGCGGGCATCGCCCATTGGCAGGCCGGGCACGTTCCACCCGATGTTTCGCTCAGTGTACACCAGGCCCAGACTCTGACACACTCGCCAAACACACACACAGGCATAGACAAAACAAGTTTTCTCAAACCAATTTTTATTTTTGTGACTGGGACCTGGGACTCTCGATGATTGTGAGTTTTCTGTTGTTATTATTTATTTGCTTGGGTATCTGTATGTGTGCGCCGTGCTTTTTTAGCTGGTGACGGCGACGGCGATGGCGGGGTCTTGGTATAATAATTTCTGGGCCAGTTCCACGCAGAGCTTTTGGCAGAAGTTCATTCAAAAAGCGAAAAACTTAGGCAACAAACTCGAAAGGCACAGGCAACTGGGAGACAGAGGCAGGGCTCGATGGAGAACGATGGAGTTTTGTATGGTTGGCCTCGCCTCTACTCCATGTGATTCACTACGCCCACTCGTCGATGGCGGAGCATAATAAAACGAGATGATAGACCGCAAAAGCCAACACAAATTTATGGCCATTAATCGAGTCGCGATTTCGGCTTTAGAAATATATTTACTATTATTTTTACGTGTTATCCGGCGATCGATGTCTGACCCCCGCGTCCTGTCCATGCTTTTTCTTGCAGAGATGCGTGTAACAGCCAAAGAGCTGCCCACTACCAAGTGGCGACGGGAGCGGCGCCAGCGTACCGCCGAATACCAGGTCCACGACGCCGTCAGCAGCGACCGGGAGCGGGAGCGGGAGGATCGGGACATGGACAGTCCTATTGACATGTCGGTGTCATCCGGGACGTTGAAGCACCAGCTGCGCGCCTCGCCTCCTCCGCCCTATCGCGAGCCGTTGCCCGGAACCAACTATGCGGCCAACAGCAGGCCCAGCGTCATCACCCAGGCACCTCCGAAGCGGGAGCCGCCGGAGCAGGCCCATTCCTCAGGTAAGAGAACTCCTTCGAAGCGGTGCCGTCGTGAGCTTACATATTTTATCATGCAGACGTGGCGATGTCCGACATCGACGAGCATTTCCGGCGATCGCTGGGCGAGAACTATGCTGCCTTGTTCTCCAAGAAGTCGCCAACGCCCACGCCAACTCCAACACCATCGCCCGGCGTGACCCCTAAGCAGCAGGCATCTCCACTAGCCCACGGACCGCCTTCGGTGAGCTGCACAGCAGCCCCAGTGGCTTCGCACCTTTATCAGCAGCACCGTTCACCACTAGCCTTGCCCGTGCTGCACTCGCCCATTCTAAGGTCGAGACCGGAGTCACCGCAACTGGAGCTTCCACCGCCGCAGGACGAACCGCTGCCCCTGTCGTTGGCATTGCATCGCAACCAAGCGCCTCCGTCCCCGCCGCCCTCGGCAAAGGAAGCGGGACCAGCGCTGGCAATGACGGACAACGAGGTAATGGAGCCGGCCACACCTCACCACACGCCGCCCAGGTACAATACTCCGTCGCCGGCGTATGCAGCCAACAGCGTGCCAGGCGGATCCGTTGGGACGCCGAACTTGACCACGACGCCAACAACGACCCCGACCCCGACCCCGACCCTGACTCCCACTCCAACTGCAACTCCGAATCCGACTCAGCCGACCACTCAGCTTCCTACGACGCCCTCTATGCCGGCGATTATTCGTGTCAAGGCAGAACCAGGACTTGCGGCCGCTGCCGCCTCTTCGACGCAGACGCCGCCCGCCTCGCCCACATCATCCACGAACATCTCGATATTCACCAAGACTGAAGCCTCTGTCGACGACCACTTTGCCAAGGCTCTGGGCGACACCTGGAAGAAGCTGCAGGGCGGGCACAAGGAGTAAAAGTTCCCCAGGATACTGATCCCGATCCCAACTCAAGAGCTGTTTTTTATTATAAATATTTCAAACTACACAATTAATGTTTATAGATCTCATGCTGATGTGAACGGAAATTCTTCAACTGCGAGTGTATTACAAGTTTCTGATAAATATGATTTTATTGAATATTGATTATATCGATAATGATATCGGTAATCAAACGGATATATGATATATGTATATTGCAAAGTGTATACGTACAAGTGACAAAATTTTGTATTCTTAATGCTTAGTTGGTAGAAACTAATCCTTAATAATATACACCTATTAAAAATAAGTGAACAATCCTACAGGCGGCGGTCTTTCATTTTATTACACGGGTACCCGTCGGATACAAGGGATAGTTGGATACAGAGGTAGTCAAAAGTATTTCAACAACCAGAGAATTGTTGCATACCCCTTTTGGTTCTTATTTTTGTTGTTGTTGATCAAGAGGATAGACTACATCACAGAGTCATCTACAATTCCTATATGTAGTTGGTATTTAATTTTGTTCTTATTTTATTTTTTATTTTAAAGGCTCAATATTTTAAGAATATTTGGTCAAAATTTTACATCGATCATAGCATAATTCCCGAAGATATGTATAATTAAACGGAGGTCGTTTTGTGTGCAATGCATGAGTATCAAAAAATTTAAATCGCTCTCCTAAAAAATGCGATTTTGAAAATCGGTGTAAACGATATCTCAAAATCTACTGGACCAAATATGGAAAATAACTTCTTTAATTAATGCTCCAGGTACTCACGTCGATCTTTTTTAAATTTTTCATTTTATTATATTTTTTATCTAACAAATTAACTTTTTAACTTAATTTTTTAGTCAAAAATTAGGGGTTTGACTTCCAATTTTAATACATTTTGGAAAATTTTTCAAAATAAAAAGGCCACGTGAGTGCATGGAGACACTTATCCTTTAACTAATGCATCATAGTTTTTTATACCCTTGCAGGGTATTATAATTTCAATCAGAAGTTTGCAACGCAGTGAAGGAGACGTTTCCGACCCTATAAAGTATATATATTCTTGATCAGCATCAACAGCCGAGTCGATCTAGCCATGTCCGTCTGTCCGTCTGTCCACCTGTCCGTTTCTACGCAAACTAGTCCCTCAGTTTTAAAGCTATCTCAATGAAACTTTGCACATAGTCTTCTATATACTCTCACTGCTATATATGTCGGAACGGGCCGGATCGGACGACTATATCATATAGCTGCCATACAAATGTTCGATATATTTTTCGAAAAAAAATTATAACTTTGCTGTTTTTCAATATTTTTGCACCATTTTTTAGATGTGGCCATTTTATATTATTTCTGAATTTTGGTAAAAATTTTACGAAAATCGGACGACTATATGATATAGCTGCCATAGGAATGATCGGGAAATTAATAGGAAAAAAATTATAGCTTCGTTGTTTTTCAACGTATTTTTATTTACTCTGAGATATAAACTTTTGTTTATTATTCTAGAATTTTGGTATAAATTTCATAAAAATCGGACAACTACATCTTATAGCTGCCATAGAAGCGATCGGTAAATATATAAAATATGTAAAGCTGGGAATGTAAAACTGTAACTGTCAAACTGTAAACATAATAAGTATAGGTAAAATGTAATGAAACACTGTTTTGTGAGTCTTTTCAGCATTTAAATCTATAATATAAACATCGAAACCAATCTGCAAGGGTATACAAACTTCGGCGTGCCGAAGTTAGCTTCCTTTCTTGTTTTATTTGATGTTTTTGTGGACAATTAGTGGGCTCAGGAGATTCCTTGTTACTCGTACACCTGTTTAATTTTGTAATAAAAAAAAGTTCAAACGTTGTGTTATTATATGGTATTTAATTTATAAAGCTAACTTTAGTCGTTTCGCCACATAAGTTTTATATGCTTAGGTCAAGCTACGCGATAAAAGCTATTTTAGTGAAATTTGTCAGCAAGAATAAAAGCTAAAAGAAGTGGGGATGTGCGAAATTGATTCATTGTGTAAATACTTTTGACTACCTCTGAATATTATTGATCAGCACACTAGCCATGTCCTTCTGTAGGTTCTCAGAGACGTATACCCCTAACAAATTGTAGTTTGCAATTCTTGTCTGAAACCAGAAAGGAAGCTAACTTCGGCATAATATCTAATATAATGAATATTATACATTTAAATTCTGAAAACACACACAAAACAGAGTTTCATAACATTTTACCTATACTTATTATGTTTACATGACAGCGATATGATATAGTTGTATAGTTAAAATTTATACCAAAATTCTGAAATAAAAAAAAAGCTCATATATCAGAGTAGATGAAAATACCTTTGAAAAACAACGAAGTTCTATGTATAAATATACTACTTTTATATATTTCCTTTTATTTTCTTCTATTAATTTAAGAATAGATCCATTCTGGTTAATGATCCAATTGCTGTATTGTTTATACAAAAATATTAAGACAAAAATTTAAGCAAAAAACGAATATGTAATAAATAAAAACGAAAAGCAGAGCATTTATGGTCGCGAAAAGAGGAAAAATCATACCTGTGACTTTCGGATAAAATATTTCAAAACAAAAACCAAAATATACCGTAAAATATTAATATTCATTAAATTTACATATTATATATAAATTAAATTAACGTAAACTTTGCGGCTTTAAATTTTAGCATCGCGGTAGACCTTTTCTGGAAATGCCCACTATACGAAATTCTTCTATATTGATCAATTGGATTATTTCTTTGTCTTTCTTTGTTTTCAATGTATGCAGGCATATTTAGAAGTGTTCCCATTGATCAACATGGACAGAATATAGCATATTCTTAAGCATATTTCGAAATATTCAAATGGGAATTAGAGAAAACGCGATTTTTCATTATTTGGTGAAGAAAAATCATAAAAAAAATGCCATCTTTTGTGCTGGTATCATCTTCTAAAAAGAATTACTTTATATTTTTAAGTCAAACCAAATACATTACGAAGATTAATCTATGCATAATACATTAAAATTGATTGTATTAAAAGCTTTCATCACGTTCGGCAGAAAGTCCTTAATTTTTTCATTCATTTTTTCAGTGTACCCACACTCATTTTGTTTTTACTACATGTATATCGATTACCGGACTTACCATTCGCATCAAAACGACAACGATTGTTGGCAACGCACCAGTACTGCCAGACTTTGGGTTCACAAGCGACCAAAAGTACCAGATCGTCCATGCACGAACTGCTAAGCCAAATGTTCACCTGGCCACACTGATATTTGACGCGAAAGCGGAAATTTTGAGATTTTTTTAGGGAGAATCTGGTAACACTGTACATCTGGTAACACTGTACATTTACATTGCAAAAAACCCTAAAACAAAGTTTTTAAACAATTAAAAGCGAACAGTTTACGGCGTGTTATTAGAGAACCAGCCCAGCGTTCGCCTCCCCACCGCATCAGAGCGAGCGACCTTTCCGTTTCGCCGAGCAGCATCGCCAGAAAAAGGGTCGTCGACGGCAGAGGGGCGCAGAGAGAAAATGTCACGCAAAGCAGCAGCAGCAGCAGAAAAAGAGTGAAGAAATATCAGAATCCATCGGCGGTCGAGTCGAGCTCACCGAAAACAGTGCAGCCGGGGTGACGCTCCCTGGAATGGTCCACAGCCAGGTGAGAGTTGCGAGTGCGAGTGCTGGTACGGGCATCCAGCGAAACAGCGAAAGTAAGAGACAACAACGGGCTCTGCTCTGCTTCTGTTCTGCAGTTGTAATTCACAGGGACAGACACCTGCGAGCGCAATGCGAACAACGCCAATCCTGGACAGCCCTGCGATTAAACTCAGTCCCCAGCGTTGGCTTGGATGTCGTCGGTAATTGGTGCTGCCTCAGTTGGGACCCTCCTCGCAATCCGCTGGCACGATGCAAAGCCTGGACTCCTCATGCCAAGAAGCCGACGTAAGAACCTGACTCCCTTTGGAGCGACACTAGTTCTCCGACTAACTCTCCCAACCTCTTGACCCCAATAGTTTATTATAAATGACACGCTCAAGAAGCTCAAGGGCTCCAACAATGCTGACCATGCCTCGGGAATAGCGCACACTGTGGTCCAGGCTCACGGCTCGAGTGTCCACCAGCAGCAGTTCGTCCAGTTCCAGACAGCGTCTTCCCCCAACAATCAGCTGCAGGCGCAGCAGACGCAGTCGTACCACCATCTACACTCTGGGCTTCAGCAGCAGCAGTCTCCCGTCACGGTCACCTTTGCGACGACCAGCAAGTCGTACCTGGAGGCCAGCCTGCTACAGGCCATACCACAGATTCCTGCCCAACCGCCCATCTGCATCTTCGATGACGACGACTCCCCCACCGAGGGGGTGGGGGCAGGGGGCTCCCTGGGCATACTCACGGAGCCCACCTCGGCCACGCCCACCGGATTGCCCACAGCGATCGCTCCGTCGCCTTCGTCGTGCTCGTCATCCACCACGACGCTGTCGAATTTCAACTCGATCACGTCACCCTCACCAGTGGTTCCCGACTTGCTTCTGTCCACGCCGCCTGGAGTCAACTCCAGCCTGAGCCTGAGTAGCAGCACGACAGGAGCGACTCCTGCCACAGCAGCAGCAACATCTAGTAAGAAGTCGGAGAAGCGACCCTCCTCTGCAAACTCATCATCCGGTGGCGGCGGTCACCATTCGCACCATCATCATCTCCACCAGTCGCATAACCACCACGTCCTGGCCTCGCCCACGTCGTCACCGAACAAGCGCCAAAAGTCCAACAGCAGTAGCAAGGAATGCAGCTCTTCTAGTCGCAGCTCAGCTCTATCCTCCGGCGCCAACGCGTTGTCGGTACAAACAGCGCGTTCCGGCACTGTCTCCTCCAATAGCCACATCAGTAGCGGTTCCTCGTCAAAGCCTCCCTCCTCGTCCGTCGGTCAGCCGAGCAGCAGCAGCAAGTTCTTTAACCTGCACGAGAAAATAAGGGATCTGTATCTGCAGCTGCTCAGCAACGACCTGAACTACTTCGCCGAGACCGGGGTGAGTTGCCATTACCATAACGCGTGTTTGCTCCCATGCTACTATTCTAACTCTTTCCTTGCCCAATTACAGCTGAAACAGCGTACGCGCTCCTTCACCCTGGAGCGGCTGGTGGAGCGGGAGAAACTCAACACAATCGTTGTCAACCTCTATCCGGGTAACAAGGGATATTCCCTGGCCCTGCACTACGATGAGCACCTGATGCTGAACCCGCAAACAAACGAATGGTCTGCCGCCGGCGCGAAGGAGGAGGGCCTCGGCGAGGGAGGACAGCGGAGCGGACGCAGCAAGGCGACGAGTGCCGACGAGAACCAAGCCAAGGCGGAAACCGCCCAGGCCAAGCATGACTACGGTCTGGTGGAGGTGCTGCGCTGGCCCTACGAGAACGACCTATTGCTGCAGTGCATAGATCGCGAGATGCTACCCGAGTTTCTCATGGATCTGCTCAGCGCGGAGACTGTCAGTCTGTCGGACGGCGGCGAGGGGACACGGGTGTTCGTGAAGCCAAGCGTGTTCTACGCGGGCTGCGTCATCGCGCAAATCCGAGACTTCCGCCAGACATTTGCCACCTCAACGAATATCTGTGATATGAAGCACATCCTGCTCAGGCCCACGAACGCCACCCTCTTCGCGGAAGTGCAGCAAATGGGCAGCCAGTTGCCGGCGGAGGACAAGCTCGCCTTGGAGAGTCAGTTAGTGCTGGCGACTGCGGAGCCGCTGTGCCTGGAGCCGGATCCAAGCATAGGAAGGCAGGCCATCAACGCCCAGCACCAGCGGCAGCTCTTCAACTCGCACGAGCTGCGCCGTCAAATGAAGAAGTTTACCCAGACGGCAATCAATCGGAAGCGCAAGCTCGACCAGTTTACACATCACCATGGCCTGGAGTTGTGCGACTACCTGGCCCGCCTCCGCCAACGACCGCGTGCGGGGAGCAGCAGCGGCGCAGGCACCGCCACACCCGCAACTGCGCCCACCAACAATCCGCTGGTTGGAGCCATGCTCTCCTCGTTCACCTCGAAGGTGCCACGGCGACCCCACGAGGTCATCCGGCCCATTCGACCGCCCTGCCTGGACTATCCCGCCAATCTCAAGGTGCCCGAGCACGTGATCAGCGTGGAGAAGTACGCCAAGACCTTCGAGCCCCTGAACGAGTTCAGCGAGGCGTGCAAGGACGGCTGCCAGCCCAATTGTCGGCACAACTTTCAACCGCAGCTCGTTGAGGAGTATGTGCTCGAGACGGAGCGCGAGGCAACCGAAGGCCGGCGGGCGCTGTACCACATCAAGCTGTCCATCTTCCAGCGTCCGTCCGATGCCGAATACTTGGGCGAGCTCTATGTGGACCGGGACTACAAGGAGGGCGAGCGCAATGGAGAGTCGTGCCGCTTTGCCTTGGGAACGCGAGTCCATGCCAACCGGTACATTCAACAGTTCCGCGAGATCTTCACTGAGGAGGGGCGCAAGGCGGTCAAGATCACGCACTTAGTGCCCGGACATGTGCCAATTGTGACCCACACGGGGCTGACGAACGAGCAGCGGATTATTTTGCAGCAGCAGCAGCAACAGCAGCAGCAGCAGAGACAAGCTCAGTTGCAGCACCAACAACAGCAGCAGCAGCAGCACGTGGCTGTTGTGAGTAATCCCCCGCAACAGCAACAACAGCAGCCACAGTCACAGCAACAGCAGCAGTTGCCCGCCACAGTGCACCATGTGGCGCTTCCGCGTCAGCAAATCATGCAAAAGACTTTGAATCTTGCCGGAGGCAATGTCATAAGCGTGCAGCAAAATTTCCGGCAACAGCCAGCCCAGCAGCAGCAAACGTACACCATTGAGGCAGGCCAGCAGCAAGCAGGCACACAAACTGCCCCGCAGCAGCAGCAGCACATCCAGCTCCAACAGCTGGCCACCGGCCTCAGCAACTCCTCCACAACCACTCATCAAGTGAGCCTGAGCAACGGTTCCCTGGTCCTAGTACAACAGCAGCCGCAGCAGCAGGTGGCGCAGGCCCTGCAGCACTCCGGCATCACCATCCAGCCGGCCACCATTCAGCAGCAGGAGAAGGCTGCCCCGGTGGTGGGAGCGAATTCCGCATTGCGTGCCCAGCTCAACTCTAGCGGGCCAATTCTGGTAGGACCACGACCTTGATATGCAAGACTTGTTTACTAATTATATTATCCTGTTTTTTAGCAATCGCAGCTGAAAGTTCAGCAGCCGCAGCAGCAGATCATGCCGAAGCAACATCAGCAACAGACAACTGCCACTAGCAACACCAACAATAATACAACTACTACTAATAATAATAACAATAATAATAATAGTAACATGAACAATAATACGGCCATACATCCGAATCCTGCTATAAATGCCATAGTCAACAGCATTATGAACTCTGCCAACCAGTACCAGCAACAACAGCAGCAGCAGCAGCAACAACAGCAATGTAAGTCAATGTCGCTTTCCCCCTGCGCTAGATGGTCTTCACAAACATTCCCATGTTTCAGCGGGTATCAGCAACAATGCAGGAGCCTCGGGCGGCAACAATGGAACCAGCACTGCCACGCTTAAAAACTCCAGCAACGCGTCGATTCTGAACCTGCTCAACAGTGCGCCGGCCGCCATGACCAGCACTCCGGTGGCCAGCGGCACTTTCACATCCTCCACCACCGGGCAGCAGCAACAGCAGCCGCAGCAGACGCTGACCCTGGTGCAGCAGCAGCAGTCCACTCCCGCCACAGCCGATGCAGCCACAGCCACATACGTACAAGCCACCCGGGGCACGCCCACGCTGGTGAGTGCCCAGCGAAAGCAGCAGTCGAGCGAGGTGCTGCAGAACCTGCTGAACGCCAACAGAAAAATAGGTGGTGGGACGACGACGTTTCGGACAAACTCTGCCGGCAATTTGATAGCAGTCAATCTGAACCAAGCGGCGCAATCGCACCACCAACAGGCGGCTGATGGCGGGCAGACCGTCCGCGTGTCTATGTCGGCGTTGGCCTCGCAGCTGGCCTCGCCGCCGGCGGTAATGACGAATCCAACCACCAGCTACACGGTGATCTCTTCGGGCAATAATGCCGCCACGGCGGCGGCCTGGATTCAGAGTCCCACTGGGCCAGTGCAGCAGCGCATACTGAGCTCGCTGAGGAGGGACAGCACCACGGTGCCGCCCAACGCGATTGTGGTGGGAATGGCCGCACCATCGCCGGGCAGCGACTCGAATGCCTCAAATGCGAGCGGATTCGCGGTGCCCAACAACTTGGCATCCACCTCAAGTGGTGGAAGTGGTGGCGGTGGAACCCTGTCCGCTCTGCTGACCAACGCAGCCACGCCCTCGCCGTCGGGATCAGATCACTCGCAATCGTCGCAGACGCACCAGAATCAGGCGCTGCTGGAACGTCTCAGCAATGTGACCTCCAACGTGTCCGCAGTGTCTATGCCACACATGTCGCCGCAGCAACCATCAGCTGCGCCGCAGTTCATTACCAAAACCATAGTCCACTCCCCCGCCACCTCCTCCATACACTCGCCCATGTCTAGTCCGCATCCGCAGCCCTCTGCCTCGCCCCAACAGCAGCAGCAGCAACCGCAAACCACCGCCACTCTGAACCTGCAGGGCATCAATCTCTCGCAGCTGCAGGGGGCCATGGCCAACTTTGCGGGCCTGCAAAATGTCCAAGTGCAGATCCCGGGATTCACGCAACCCATTTCCCTGCAGTTTTCGGGGAACAGCCTCCAGCAGCAGCCGCCGCAGCAGCAGCAGCAGGCGGGAAGCGTGACCCCGGGCACGGGCACCACGCAGGGTCACCAACGCAGCGTCCTTGTATCGGTCCCGGTCTCCAGCCATCAGCAGCAGCTGCCCCACACCATAACGCTCCAAACCCAGCCGGCGACGCACCAGCACCAGCAGCAGCAGCAACACGCGCCACCCACTGGCACCATCGTGAGTTTGCCCTCGACAGTGGCTGGTACCCAGACGGTGGTCATCACCAACAACGGCGCCGGTGCTGCCGGTAGTGGGGCAAGTGGCAACGGTGGTAGCGGCGGCGGCGGCGGTGGAGGAGGAGCAGGCGCAGCCACCGCCATGCTGACCCTTCCCATTGGTGAGTACAAACTCAGGGGTGAGGTAAACCATTTAGTGCAGTTTCCGCCCCGTGCGGAGGTGTCTCGGCCAAGCCGAAGATGTGTGTGACTCGGGATCCGGTTTCTCGTTGAGATCTTTATTTATACTTGCACAATATTATCTATGTATACAGTAATTTGTGTTTCTTTTGATTGAACATGCTTAATTTGGTTCTCTTTTGTTTCTGTTTTCGTTTCGTTTCTCGTTTCCAACAAACCACAACATAACACAACACAAACCCGATAACCACTCACTCGATTCGATCCGATCCCCTCATGCCACTAAACCGAACCGTTCAATGTGTCTCTTGTGTGTGTTAACCCGAAATGCCATGCCATCAGTTTGAATTCGGAGAGTCCATTGTCTTCATATAACCACGACCCTACCGTCGTCCGTCGTCCATCGTCCGTCTTCCGACCACCCTCGACCCTCGACATGTCTCATTGCAACCAGAAACAACCAAACAGCCAAAAAATCTCCCCGCACACCCACGTTCTGCTCTCTCTGCTTACAGCTCAAATAGTCGGTGCGGGTGTCCAAAAACTAAATCCTCAAACAATACGTACCTCAGGTGTTGGTGGTGGTGTAGGGCAGGCCCAGTCGGGAGGCAGCAGCACGACGGCAGCCATCCAGCTGGTGGGCACCATACCGCCGCGTACCCGCAACGTCCAGGTGGTGGGCACCAAGCAATTGGCGCCGAACAGACAGCTGATCACCGCTCAGCGACAGATAGGCGGCTCCACGCTCAAGATAGCCACCACGCCCGTGAATGGTTAGTAGCACTCGCCTTCCGCCCGTCCTTGACAAGCTCACCCCACACTCTCTCTTGCCAGCAGCTGCCAATGTTGTAACTAGCAGCGCCAACTTGGGCGCCGCGTCCATTGTGATGTCTACTCAGAAGCTGCAACTGAAAACAGTGAAAGCGCCCATGCAGCAGCAGCAGCAGCAGCAGTTGCAACAGCAACACCGAATACTCAACCAACAGAGCACCGCCACGGTATCGTCGCAGACTCTGCACAGCCCTAGCCAAGTGCAGATGCAAGTGTCGCAGCAGCAGCAGCAGATGCAGCACATACAAATCGCGGGACGGACCGCAACCGCTTCGGGTGCCATCAGCCAGCGGACCCTGACGGCACTGGCGGCAGCCAAGCAGCAGCAGCAGCAACAACAGCAGCAGCAGGCTGCAGTCAATCGCCGGCGCTCCACCACTGATGCGACGAAGTAGGTGTGCCATTTGCCATATGCGAAACGGGACTGAGTGTGCTACGCGATGTGCATTGCTTGATATTATAGTTTATGCAAAGACCCTATAATAACAAGATGCGTAACGGCCATGCATTTGAATGGCCATGCCCAGGCATTTTCTTTGCAGGCGACAAATGTTCGTCCCTCTAGCTAGATGAGAGCGCTTGATCAAGCTGGTGCGCAGAGATCTAGAACTCTCGTAGGCTGCAAATAGGAGTGAGTCAGGCCTAGGGCTTTTGAACAAAACTTCAGGAGATCGTGAAGGGAGTACATCTTGTTATTTTAGGGTCTTTTATGGTTACCTCCTATCAATACTATCGTACATACATTGTATACCCCTATACATAGCTATATATATCTGTTTTGATGTGTAATCGTAAGTGTAAACTGCAGCAGCATGGCGGCGAAATATGGCCCGAAAAGGAGTTCGCATTGCTTGTGTTAACCGAACGAATTAGGTGTAGTAGAGCTCCTACCATACATATTTATCTAGTTGTATATACACACACACACACATATATGTACAGATATATATGAAAATTGTTTCAATTTGTCCTGCTGCCAATCTGGCTCCCAACCTCCTTTCGTTAGGTCCTAAGATCGGCCAGCAGCAGTGCTAATTCGAAGCTGTCGGGCAAGTCGGGCGGCGAAAACAACAAAGCAATAATCGAGGAGAAGAAGGGAAAACAAAACACGTAAATTAATTGTAAAGAAATTCTTATTATTACGATTACGATTTAGAAAGAGCATGTGAACCAGGCTAGGGGTTCATTTTAGTAATTAATCATACGTATATTGTAACTATAAATTAAAACTATTATTGCTAATTATTTAATCAGAGGAGGAGAACACACATTTTAGCTTGTAATGTACAATTCATAGCCTCAACCAATTTAGTACTTCCAATTGCAGAAACATTAAAAGCCGAAAGCAAAACCAATTATGCAAAAGTCAACACTTATTTAAACAACTTATTCTTAAATAGCGCAATGTACAATTAAACTAGAGACCGGAGACAGGATCGGAGTCGCCGCCGAGTGATTGTAGAGAGTGACGTGACGCTTTGTTTGACTAAAAATTCGTTTTTCGACTACGCCAGTTTTGTAGGATAAAGTTAAATATTTATTTAAGCAACGATTTTATTTATGTTATACAACTTTGCTGTACTCGTTTGGCATTGTTCGATTCGATTCGATAATTCTGCTGTAAAACCCAAAACGAACGCAAACTAACCTCACCAACAACCCGATGTCCCCACAGTACCCGACACACTCAAGCATAATTTACTCAATGTTAATATTAAATAATAAATGTGATTTAAGAAGAATAAAACGAAGACATTGCAGACCGTACAGTAAGCAGTAACCAGCACAGCGAACGATCTAAAGTCAGAATGGGAGATGTTGCTCAAGCAGAGCGCAGCAAGGAACTGGTCTAGAAAACCTGAGTACGGAAGTTGTATTTAACTTGATAACGATATACGTGTGGTCTGATCAAATGGTTATTGAAACGCAATTCAAAGATTTATTACTGCAATGCGGAGCATCCGAGCAGCCGCATAAGCTATTTATATGTACATGTAAACACGAAGCCACTATTAATATAAATGTGTAATTTCCATTGAACAACTTAACTGCTTATCAAAATACCTGACTGTAGAAACTTTTCATTAAACTGATATCGATGAAAACTCTGGAGACGAAACGAAGCGAAGCGGAAATAAAACAAATTACGACTAAACAAAATGAAGAGCCGACAAAGTCAGCTAAATCTCCGTTAATCAATAAAGTGTGAAATCTATACTATAAAAACTTGGGCTAAAAATGTGTCTTACGGGGTAATTGCGCTGCGTATGACGTTACGCATCTTTTAATTTGATTCTGCTCGGCGCAGGGAATACTACGCAGGTCGACAGCTTTAAAACCACCTTTTTCCAACTGGTCAACACGATTTCTCAAAAACGGCTTAGCAGATTGTCCTGAAACTTGCAGTTTAAGTTCAAAAAACATACGGACGTGGATTAGACTAGGATTTTTTGGATAGGTCAAGAAGTGTTTTTACACTGCAAAATAAAAAAAAATAAAACAAAGTGGCTCCAAAATATTAGTTTTCAATATTTTCAAAATATCACTGTGTATTCCGTGACAGCATTTCGGCTTACAACATTTTTTGAAAAATACTTTATACTACATTACCTAATAACTGTTAAAAAGTTCAAATTGCTTAGTCAAAAATGTTTTTCAAAAAACCTCCGTCACGTGGGTCAACCCCCTTAAAAGAGCAGAAAAGACTTGTTTTTCTTACTTTTAAGGTGATTTATCTTTAAAACGTTTATTTTTTGTTAACAATCAGTTTTTAGATTTTGAAAAAATTATTGGGTTCGGTTCTAGAATTTATATCAATATTTGCATATATTTCTGAGTGTCTTGAATTGGGCAATGCACATGGAAAAATAACAATATAACAAAGATAAATAAATATTTTTTCAAATTAAAAAAAAAAATACTTTTAGGCTAAGGACAATATTTTATGATAGCGTACACGAAATCCGTTTTTTTATTACCTTTAAGATAGAATATTTTAAAAACTTGGGGCATAGGAAATTTTCAAAGACCAGATTTGACTTCAGCGCATCACAAACTATCGTAAGAGTATATTTCGGTTCTTGATTCTAAGTCCTTTTCAATTTTTGTCGGCCTGTGGTTTCGGCAACCGCTGCTAGGTTTGATTCAAGTCCTTTATTTATCAAGCTTATCGTAGTTAGCACAGTTCAATTAGCTAGTCGCGGTTTAACAGAAGATTGGGATAGAAACGGAGACCCTCTATGGACTCGTCCCGGCACACGCTGCCCAGACGTTCGGCCACCAGCAGCCTCTCCTTGGCCAGTAGAAGGGAGATTCCCAGCTGCTTGGCGAGTTCCTCCACTGCCAGACTCTCGGCTGCTTGAACCTTCTCCAAAGTGTCGACAGCAATTAGGCTATCATCGTGTGACTCCAGTTGCAGGACTCTAGCGCCACTCGGAAAACTGCGAAGGCGTATTGGTCCACTCAGCTGCTCGCAGGCGTGCAGCAAGTCCTCTGGCGACAGTAACTCCAGTCCCCGAGCCCGATTTATGCGGCAGTAAACGTCAGCCAAAGACATCATGCCTCCTTGCTCCTAAGAAACTACTATAAGTGGGGATGATAGTCTTTTTAGTTCTAACTCTCACCTCAAGCGGGTCCAGAAGCACCTCGCAAATCTGTTGCGCCAGGCTGGAGAAGTAATCGGTATTGCTGGTGAAGTTGTCACGGGTAACAGGATCGTCGATTCCCAGGCTCATGAGGTAGGACTTGAAGCGCACCGTCTCATCATCAGATATCTCGCCTTTCTGCTCGCGAATCTTGCCGCTGATTGCCTTCGAGATGCCAACCATGTCCTTGGCCATGGCCATTAATACACTGAGATCCTGAAAGGCCAGCGCTATGTTCTCATCCGTGGCCTTGGCCTTCGCCTCCAGATGACGCTCAATGCCTCCGATTCCTGTTCTCTTCTGAATGCGAGCTAGCCGGTCGTTGCCAGTGTCCGAGTTCGGGCTGCTGGCCACTTTGCTCACGATGGTCTCGCTGGTTAGGGAGATCTCCCAGACGCGCGCACTGAGGGTTTCCCTAAGGGCACTGTGAAACTCAACGCTCAAGCCGTTCTTTCCAGACAGCTTGATGTGGGTAGCACGGCTGGTGTCTAGCGGGCCAGGCCCTTTGGCGGGCGATGGCGGTCGCAGGTGCATTATTATGCGGGTTTTTCTGCCAAAGAAGTTGGAGGCTGTCGTTTCTTCGCTGAGCGATATCACATAGCTGAGGGGCAGGCAAAGGGTCACGGCGGCTCGGGCTATCTCGCCAGGACGTCCCCAAAACAGTCTGTGCGTGGTGAGCACAACCTCGCCTTCTTCAAACTCCGTCTGAAAGGTAAAACCACTGTTTGAATGGCATTGTGGGAAGGCTTTTCGGCACTTACCTTGTTGTCCCCATCGTATATTTTCACCTTGTTGTCGCGGCTGACGAACGATTCGTTGGGACTGAGGCGGGCCTCCACATACTCAAAGCGGTTCATTTTGGTAACTTGTATTCCTGGTTATTCCCAATATTTTTTAATCGCTGAATATTGGTCAGCTGCAGCGTTGCCGATTTAGCTTTTTGCACGCTAGATCTGGCGGTTTTCAAAAGCAAAATGCTGGATATTGTAATCAAGCGGGAATAATAGGTTTTTCACTATGTGTTCAGATACGTGGATGCTGCAGGGTATAATATATGTTATCTACATTTTCCGGCGGTTTCTGGGAAACTCTTCCATTTGTCAACATGAAGAAGCAGTTTTGCCACTTTAAGTATTTTATTGCTAGGTTAAGCTATTTGCTGAAATGGTAATAGCTAAATGTATAGCTATTTTAAAGTCATTAGGCTACCACTGATATATTTTTCCCCACTATTTCCGAACGTTTTTCTATTTATTTCACACCTCGAAGGTAATCGAACTATGTTTTGAATTACTAACATATTATTATTTATGATTTTTTTTAGCATATGTTTAAGTATATAAAATTGTTTTTAAAACTATTTTTAGCTATTTTAAACCTCGAAATACTGTCAGCTCTGAGTAAAGAGTCAAAAATACCAAAAAATATACTGCGATCTGGACATTAAACTATACGGCCACACTAAATACATAGCTCTTCTATTTTTGTGATAGTGTTTTTTTCCCCAATTTGTGCTAAAATTAATATAATAACTATGAATGCAATTTCAAACAATTATGCGAAATGACGTGCCTTTCCTGAGCTGCTTATGTAACGCTGCACAGGCCGCGAAATAAGACCGCACATCGATTACCGGGGATTAGCGAAGCTCAAGTCGGACTAAATGGCGGCGGTGGCCGAGGGCAGCAAAATGCTGGAGGCGGCGCTTCAGCAAATGGATGGCCTTATATCGAGCACAGCGACCCAGGCTGGCTCCGCTGCGGCGGCAGCTGCCGGGGCTTCTCTGACGCTGAGCGAGCGAAACTTGATTTCGGCCACCAATGTCTTATCGACGGCCAAGACTTTGGCTCTCGCCCTGCAACAGGTGAGTCACGGTGGAGATAACGCCTCTATACACGGCCGAGCTCACTTACATGCATATGAATGTATTTACTGCCGTAGGTGGGACTGGCTGCTCCGGCCCCTGATCCTGTCACCGCGGCCATCATAAGCGACTGGTTGGAAACGCACATACCTCGTCAGGACTCCGACGAGCGAATGCGGCGGTTGCAGCGCGACAAGGAGGGGCTGGCTCTGCAGTACCAAATGCTGGCAGAGCGCGTTTCGGAGCAGGCGGACAAGATCATCGAGCTGGAGGGGCTGATCACGGAGAAGACCCAGCAGTTGTGCAGCAAGGAGGAGCTGTTGCAGCGCCAAATGATTTCCAGGTCCGCCCTCGAAACGCAGAAGCTCGAGCTGATGAGTGCCTTAAGTGAACTGAAACTACATCGCACGGCATTGGAGCAGGCCAGTGATGGGGCCGCAGTAGGTGGCAATATGCCCTATGGCAGTTTGAGCAATATAAACCAGAAGGCCTTCATGGGGTCCCCGAAGACCCCACCCTCTGCGCTGCGCCATCAGATCAAGCCGCAGTTCCACAGCCTGCCACGATCGCACGGCAAGCTGGGAAACAACAACAACAACAGTCGCATCTTGGATGTAAACGCAAATAGTAGCGGAAAACAGCGGAACGTGGCCTTCGCTTCGAACGAGCAGATTCTGATCGAAGACAATGCTCACCACGCCGACGAGACTATGACATCCAGTTTCATGTCGCAGTTCACTCCTTCGCCGAAGCTGCGGGAACGTTCTGCCCGCGGCTTGCGCAACATTCTCGGCAAGCTGCGGCGCAGCAACAGTAGCAACTGCGAGCTTACAGCCTTGGAGCAGGCAGAACCCGAGTTTCGACGCGGCGGCTCCAGAGCCACCGCAGGCGGACGCATCGAATGGAGTGCTCAGACGCCTCTGTTCGGTGAGAATGAAAAGCACTGGACCACTTGGGGAGCACAAGAGGTGTGCACCTGGCTCGGACACATGGGTTTGGGCTGCTACGAGGACAATTGCCGGTGAGTTGGTCAAATAAGGATGCATATATTGGCTATTTTCACCGACCTTTTCCCTTAGGAAATGGCTAAGGGCCAACCCATCGGTGTCGTTTTTCACCGCCTCGCCTGTGGACATTGAACGTGAGCTTAATTTGAAGCTGCCGCTTCACCGCAAGAAGATCATGCTGGCCATCGACGACATCACGGGGAAGGAATTCGATGAGCTAACCTTGAAGTCAGCCAGCTTGGATGTGGCCTGGGTGCTGCGATGGCTCGACGACATTGGACTACCGCAGTACAAGGACTACTTTATGCAGGCCAAGGTTGATGGGCGAATGCTGCACCGCCTTACGCTCGAGGATCTGTCCCAGTTGCATGTGAGCTCTTGCCTGCACATAGCCTCGCTGCGAGCAGGCATATTGTGTATGCGTCGCATGTCCTGGAACCCCGAGGGTCTGATTCGACGGTCCCTTAAAGCGGCTAGCGAGGATGAGGCCGCGGGCAGTCCCGACAGGGACAATGTGGAGCTGTGGACAGCACACCGCATCATGGGTTGGCTTCAGACCATAGACCTGTCCGAGTACACGCCAAATCTACGCGGTGCCGGCGTCCATGGGGCTCTAATGCTCTACGAAGCACGTTTCAATGCGGACCTGCTGGCCGACCTGCTGTCGATACCACCGAGCAAGTCACTGCTGCGCCGCCACCTGGCCATGCATTTCAAGGAGCTGGTGGGTCGTCCGGTTATTCTTAGTAAACGGGATGCCGAGTCAGCGCCTGGTTATCAACCGCTGAGCATTACTGCTAAGCTAAAGCCGGTTAAGCGATCACAGTTCTCGTTGAAGCGTCGCAAGAGCTCGAAGAGCCAAAGCGACATTGACTGGACAGAGTATGTGTGCCCCATGAACGCCAGGGTGCCGGAATCCTCTTTGGTGGATGCGGCCAAGGATCACGAGGGCTCAATGAGTTCGAATTAATGAGCAGCCGGCAGACGCACAAATCAATTTCAAGCCACGTTGCTGATATGCAAAAGATAATTAAGCTCAATTGAACTGCCAACTTAACGAAGCAAGTGACCAAATCTACAAATCAAGCGACAATATTAGCAAAACTAAACCTGGGCACGCCCAAACTTCCAAGTGTCTATCGAATGAATTCGAGCAGAGCCTATAATCCAACCATGTATGTTATCATCATTTGGGAAATTCTTCTGTAACTAAAAATTAACTGTAACAAAAATTAGGCTAATCTGGATCCGGAACTCAATGACATTTTTAGCATCCAGCATAACGGTGGAAACGAGAAGTATTTTCTATGGCATTGAATTAAGAGCGACCCTAACATTATAGACTTAAAGCCCATATTGGAGTTTATCTTTTGTACTAACCCGTAACTGTATTAACGGATATTTTGTAAAATAAAAACAACGATGCCTTTTACAAATGTACACGAAACAAAAAATGTTGGGACCAACGTGGTTAATCCGCAATGCTTTCGCTTTTGTTTTGGATATAATCAATTAGGAAACAACTACACAGCTAAGCAAACTATTAAGGGGGGATACATGTAAAGCAAATTTTTTAGAATTAGTTTATTACTTAAGGAGGTTGACCCATGTGACGGCCGTTTTTTGGATCGTTTTTTAGAAAAATTCCTGAAAAGCGCCTAAGACAGCAATTTGAATTCTTTAACAGTTATTAAGTAAAGTGTAAAGTATTTTTCAAAATTTTTTGTAATTCAAAATATTGCAAAATTTTCGAGATATAGGAAGCCAATGTACTAGACTAAAAAAAAGGTACTGTCATTGTCAACAATATTCTGGCGAATTGGTTGGCCCGATTTCAAAAATTTAAATGCCATTGTGATGAATGGATCTGGATAAATGCGGACTAGGATATTTTGAAAATATTGAAAAATAAAAATTTGACGCTACTTAGAATTTTTTTATTTTGCAGTGTAAAAAAAAATTCCTTGACCTATCCAAAAGATCCTAGTTCATGCGATATCCGCATATGTGTAACTTTCATTATCGAATTTCAACTCTGCGGGCCTTAAATCAAGTATGCACTTTTCTCCACTTTAAATTTTTGCGTTTTTGTCTATGTTTTGGACACCATTCTCAAAAAATAAGCAACATACGGAGTGAATCAAAAACTGTTATCATCAGAACGAAATTATCTTTTTTTGGAACCTAAATGGTAGTAATGAAAATGAGTATTGTTACTTTTTAAGAGGGTGTTCCTTTCCAACTTCCTTCCTCACATCAAATATTTTGAAAATCGATTTTTTTTTAATTGAATTTAATTTGTTTGTTAGAATTTCTTTTGGGTTTTTTTGGTTCAAATAAAATATATAAACCTATAATAAACCTATATGTCCGCCATTTTGCAATATTATTCAAAAAACAATATTTTAAAAAACATTATTTTTATTATCTCCGATTTCCTTAGTAACTATCTTCGAAGTTTCACGATGATTGCTTGAGTATTTCCTAAAAAAAAAATTACGAATAGTGTCTAAATTTTTACAGCTCAAGTATCTCAACGTGTTGCCCAATGCACAGAGCGAGAAGAACACTAACAAGGACCCACCCTGGTGGTCTTCCTGACAGGAAGAACTAGCTTCCTTTAGGATATTCAATCTGGTAATAACAGTTGGACGACAAATACATACATGCGATAGGTTTTGTGGTCTCTTTTTTAGTTGTTAGAGTTTGTTATTGATGGAATGGAAAATAGGGAATCAAAATTAATAGTTTTTTATTTTCTGTCCAGATTTATATAGCATCTAAAGCTATTAATATTCTGAGAGGGCAGAATATGAATAAAAATGGGGTTTATCAAAGGGAAATGTTCGACAAAATATAAACAACAGAATATAAAATATTGTAAATCTTTGATATACCGAAATTTTCAATATATGGTAAAAAATCGAATCAATTAATTTGAATGTAAATTAAATGTTTACCTTTTCAATGAAATACAAGTTGCCAAGTTACAATCAAAAGAAACTTCTCTGATAAACAACAAAAAAGTTTTGCAATTACAATTAAATATAACAAATAATACCAAAAATTTCATTCAAGACATTTTATAATTTGGATTCATATTTCTTATATTTGGCAACTAAAATTGATAGTGTTTGGATTTTGATGGGCACCGTGGACACACACAGTCGAAACGTGTTGAAGTGATCATAAGTAGACATTTTGTAACCTCTCAAAGTTCTGCACCCATTGTACATGCAAACACTCAGTTTATTTGTTAAGAAAAACACTTTATTAGGCACTAGAGAAACTGATGAACGACTAGGAAACGTGGCTGATCATTGATCGCGTTGTTGGGCAGCCTACATGGACGGAATTGGCATGGCTTACTTTTCTCCACCCCATCACAACCATGTCTGATCTTAAACTAAATCTTTGGCAGTGCTTTGTGTCCTCAAGGAGCCTCACATGGCCTGGCTGGCGGAATGGCTCTCCTGACTCAGCAGATGGCCGACAGCCTCACTCTTTTCCCGACCACCGCCTTGGTGCTTGGCCAGATCGCTCTCAGGTATGTGGTCCTTCCAGTTCCGGAAAAGGTAGCGTGTGAATTTCTTCAGCTGTCTGAACTTGCAGTAGGTGGCTCCCTCCGCGGACTGTAGCTGCTGGGTCTGGATAAGGAAGCCCTTCTCCTTGAAGGTCTTCTCCAGCTTTTCTCGCTGCTTCGAACGACGCGACAATCGCCTCTTGTGCTCGCTCTCTGTCGGCGGATTTCCCGGTGGCTGCCTTGGACAAACCGCACCTGGCATCGGACTTTGAGAGCTGGAGTGCGGCGAGACGGGACTGTGCGGTGCCACGGCGGGCACCAAGTGGTTGCTGCTAGGCAGGAGCATCGATGAAGTCGGCGACTCCGGGGGTATGTGTAGTTGCTCCAGGCTTAGGTCCGTTGATGGTGGTGGTATGTCCACGAACAGTTTCTCCTGGCCCTGAAGCTGATGCTGCTGCAGATGCTGCTGCTGATCTCGGGAGATGAACTCATAGCCCCGCATGGTCTTGTCTCCGGTGCCGTTGTAGTAGCGGTAGTTGCCCTCCGCGTCCACCGAAAGCATTTTCTTTTCCTGCAGCGTCGGCTTGGCTCCTCCCGTGAACTTAAACTTGCATATGCTGACCTCAGTGGGAGGGCTGGCCGAGTGTTCGGCGGGCACGGGCGGTATAAATATGGCCGAGCGCTTTCTCTTGCGCATGGAAAGCGGCGTGGCCTCGTTGGCAAAGAACCCGCTTGGTATGGGAATCTTTAGAGAAAGCTGGTTGTCCTTCTCTATGGTCTCCAGGGGCAGGGTAACCCCACCTAGGCTGCAAGACTCCACCAGCTGTTGGTAGTAGAGGCCCACTGGTTGGAAAAGTAGCTTGGCGGTGGACATTGGATGATTCTCGCTCTCGGCAAGCTCGAGGGTCAAGGGCTTTACTGCATCTAGCGGAGATGTCCGGTGGGAGGAGAGGCCGCAGTCTGTTGATGCCGTGGTGGCGGGCTTTACGCTGTCGCTGCTGGAGATGGAGTACCGATCTCCGCTTTGGTCCCGCAGGCAGAGGTTCAAAGGCTCCTCTGGAGGCAAAACAATCGTGGCAGTAGATGTTGGCGGAGTGGCGCTCACTGGCATCGCCGCCACATTAGCCGGGACAATAGTACCATAATTTTTGTAGATCAGGTGGCAGATATCCGCCTTTTTGGGCTTTCGGCCGCGCCTTGGCTTGTAGTTGTCCAGAGTGATTTCCCCCATGTAGGGCAGATCGGCGTACTTAAGAGAGCTCCGCTTCGGGTTTGCGGGTAGCTCGGCGCTTTTTGTCGGGGTCACGGGTGGGAAGGGCGACAATCGTGAGGCCGGCGGTCCGGAACGAGGAGCCTGTGGCGGCAGCTTTTGCTGCTGGCGTTCCGCACTGCGCTGGATTTCTGCGATTTTCCGCAGCCAGCTGCGTACGTTCTCGTGGGCCTGACTGGGCGGGGGAGGTGGTTGTGGGAGCACTGACCGCTGCTGCTGACGAGACTGTGTGGCTTCGTAGTGGGCGGCATATTCTGCGGGCAAGGCCTGGTGATGGAAACGCAGCTTCATGGCCCCCGTGGAGGTGTTCCGCTTCCTAGACCTGTTCGAGGCCTGGCTTTGGTTCTGCTTCGGTGTCTTTTGTGAGGACGGAGTAGGGGGATCTTCTGGACACAAGGGTTGCTTATTCAACTTGCGGCTGCCCATCAGAAGATTGGCCTTCAGCTGCTGCTTAGTCAGTTGGCTGCAGGTGCCGTTATGGGGCTGCCCAGAGACGTTTCTTTTGCGCGCCATTAGCGTCTTGAAGGGATGGTCCTCGTCGTGCGCGTCATTAGAGGCGCCATGCGAGATCAGGGGGTCGTCCGAGCCCTGCAGAAGCAAGTGGGTGCTGTTGAGGTCTAATCGTTGATGCGCGTGCTCCGGGGTGGGTAGCCAACACTCCAGGTCGTGGTGCTCGAGCTTGATGGTGGGCAGCAGCTGCTCCAGGTGGCTGGCAGCGGGAGCTACAGGCACCAACTCGTCTTGGCAACTGCTGCCGTTAAGCTCGCACGCCCTCGCTAGTTCCTGCATGCTGATCCTGCCTGCGAAAGAGAAAGCCAAAGAAGTTAGAAGAGAGAGTGGAAACCGTGTTGCAATATAACGTATACGTATACGTGACAAGGCAGACACACGTTTTCCCTCAGCTTTGTTGTTCTGCTGATCGTGGTCGCCGGCAGATGAAGACGAAGGCGGGGACGGACACGGGGACAGAGCACGCGCTTGCTCTCCTGAGCAGCGGTGATTCTATTTAAATGTCTAAGAGGGACGTGGCCAGCCAGTGGCGCTCTCTCACACATATGCACTGGGAAATTTCGCTCCGAAACAGAAATGTTGTTTTTGTGCATGAAATTCGATTCCTCGGGCTAAAAGAATGCCCATAAATGGTCTAATTACTCGGCCCCATTGGATGGAAAACGACTTTGAATTTTCAGCCGGAGGCTTCCGATTGCTGAGTGAGGTGGGTAGGAGGCAGTTCAGTTTACCTTTGTGTGCTTGTGTTTGTACAGAGAGGTGCCCAGAAAAATGGGAATTGGCCTTGGACCCGGCTTCAAATCAGTCTTTGGCTGTCAAGTCTGCTGGCTGGTGCTTCTCAAAGGATCCCCTCAGATCGAACCAGTGGCAGTTGAGGTCTGCAATTCAGTTCACGCTCCCCTGGCAGTCGGATCACCAGCACTGCCACTGTACGCGTGTACATCGTGTTGACATCCAAAACGCAACTAGTTGCGGGAAGCCGAGTCGCGGAAAGCATCGCTTCTTCGGAATATGCTCCTTAGATGGACCGCGGCGGAGAGCACGACCCACACACAATAGAGGAAAACAGCGGGCACGACGAGCAGCAGAAATGAAAATCAAATTCCTCCGCTCTTCGGCAGAGATGCGTTGTCGCTT